TAACAAAAATCTTCAAACAAATTACTGGCACACTTTCAGGAAAGTTTGCTGATTGCTTTGTACAGTGACTGGAGAGACCAGAGAGACTCAATTAGTTAAGTTCTTTCAAGGTTAAAACCATTTAATACTATGCTTGGCTTTGAGATCTGTAGTTGCAAACTTTATAAAATTTTAGATTGGCTCTTTCCAAAAGATTCTTCAAGTGATTGAATGCCTATAATTCTGATGACTAATATTACTGGTTGTGATCATGTTGGGTTTTCCAAGTCTTTTCTATGGGAAATGTGGCTTTATTAACTGAATGCATTGTGAAAATTTTGCACTAAATGGGAAATTTGGCTTACCCTTCCAACCAACAGGAACCCCACTGGAAAGATCTTGTTGATGGTTATCATGTTCTCACTCAGAAAGAACTTCAGAAGTTTCCTCAGTCATCCAAGTCAGTAGGAATTTTTTTTTTGTAATGTTATAGTGATCATTTTTCATCAGATGAATGACTTAATTGTAAACTGTGTGCAGAGTGACTGTGAGAGAGATGGGACCTCCAGCAAACCAGGATGGCAACGGCAACCAAGACATGGCAAAACAAAAGATCTAATGGGCAGAATAAGAGCTTAGGATTTTCATCGTAACCGCCTAATGTCCCCACTCATGTTTAAACACTGAAATGTTTATCACTCATCTTAATTTCATTTGTTAATTCTATGAAAGGGTGAATGTAGTTAGTTCTTATGGTTACTCACTTTTTTTTTCTTTTAATCAACAGATTTGGTTTCTCCTGTAGAGTCATGTTCCTGAATGGAAAGTATTATAATCCATGGCTTCTAGAAAGGTAACATTCTTTTTTTCACCATATGTTTGTAGTATCTCCTCAGTTTATCAAAAGTTTTAAATAGAATGAAACTGCATAGCGCTCTTTCTAAATCAGGCAAAGTTTAACCTATATTAGGCATTCACCCTTGCATAGTTGCCACAGCCGTGGCTTTCTGATATTCCTTGACTTTTCTCTGAAAAATGTAGAATATCCCTGATCAACTAAATTAATATTTGCACATATGAACCCTGATAATGGTGTCCAACCTCCCTACATAGCCATCTTCTTTATCCATGCTCTAAGCAAGTCACACGAAGGGTATGTCAATTGGTGTTTCCTTGATGTAAGATATAAAAATAATTTATTGTCTTGAAAACCCAACATCAGTTTGCATTTCAATTTGATTTTACAATATTCTACCAAACCAACACGTTTCATGCATGGAAATGTACCATAGATATTGAAATTTGAAATAAACGTAATGATTGGACAAAATTTCATTCACAAATCAAGTCGAACTTGCTTTACAACAGGAAACAATATCAACTGTAAAAAGTGACATATCGTTCATCAAGAAGAGGCTCTGGACAAGATTTAATTGTGATTGTACTTTTCCCTGACTTGATCAAAGATCAGTGCAAACTTTCCCTGACTCAAAAGTTTTTCCTTGACTTTTGGCAACCATGCCATCGTGTGGGAAATGCCCAGATGACAGGTTAACAGAGATTGACCAAATTTTTGAAAAAAGTGTGGCAATAAGTGATCGAAAAAACAAAATTTGCATCCTAATGCTAACAACTACACTATATAAAGTATCTGTTATTTTCAAGCTAACAGGGGGTAGTAAGGTGAGCAACTTTCTTATCATCAGTACTCATTCCCTGTGAGACCATGTAAAGTAAATTAATCAGCTTTAATTGTCTGGAATCTAAGCTTTGGCATCTTGGTGAAGCAGGTTACTGAGTTCACTGAGTATCGGCCAAAGTTAACCGTAATTTGATCAAAGGCTTCCATGAGCTAAAAGACATTTAAAAAGTTTGTTATTCTGCTGTTGCAAAGTCGATCAAATCTTAGGTTTTCGTAATACTGCAACCCAAACATTTCGCGCAGGTTGTGTAGTGTTCTAATTTTCGAATCGAAATCTTTCTATCAAGTGCTGACTCAAATCCTTTTGAATTCGACCAGCAGAAAGTTTATCAATATTTTCAGTTCGGAAATGCATTCTTGCCGTTCTACAGTAATCGTAACACAGCGGCAAGAGTTAACAATCGCCTCCGGTGAATATAAGTATACAGTTTGTAAGAAAAGGTTGACCTTTTAACCATCACCGGAAGTAGTGAATTTGGCACATGCAAATTACAAAGATGACAGTATAAGACCAAGAATACATGATTTCTTTTTCACAAATTGATTCAACCGCCTGACTTTGAAAGTCACAGAATACAGTTTCGCAAACGTTATGCACCTGCCATACAGAATCAGGCATTGATAGAGGATGGAGTGACGCAATTCTGTCTGATATTGATAATCGTTGCCTCACAATACTGACACATCATTTGCAAGCATTTTAAAATCAGAGTCTGACAGAAGAGTTGTATCCAGTTGCTTATTTAGCAAACTCTAGGTTGCTATGAACAGCCTTCTTATCGGCCCCTTTATCGTCAATGAACTGGTTGCGATAGAATGGATGTGTCTTGTTCATCAAATGCACAAAGTGATCTCTTTCTCTTTCATACTGCACTAGATCTTCGCACAATCTCGTACTGACATCTCATTCTCTTTTCAGCCCTTCGTCTTACTTGCTTAGCTATTGGGGATATCTTCATTAAACTGAGGTGCACGAGGCCGGATAGTAATATCACAAACTTTAACAGTTTTAAAAAGATCCATTACGAGAAATGTTTTCCTCCTCAGAAAAAGTTGAATTCAACCTGAGTAACGTTCGTAAATGTAATAAAACCCTTTTTGTTTTGCCATGTTGATTACACCGGTTACCAACCTTCAGTTGTGAAGATGTGAATGGAATGTCCTCTGAGTACAGGGAAGATGTCAGTGGTAGTTTATAAATTTTTATAAAACAAAAATCATGACTGCATTATTATGTATTCGTCCAGGTTCAAGCATCTGGGTGGTGACATTATCAAGAAAACGCTAGATTCACTGAAAGAGGTGAGACATCTATACAATGTGGCAATAAGTATGGTTGGTTAACTCTTCTGAATTATATCCATGCATATGTTCTTCCATCAGCTGAAAATGCCAGTTTTACACCATTGTTGATGTTTGGTTAATGTGTGGACCTTTTTGGATCAACTGCACGTTAAAAATAAATACGATATTATAGCTTGCAGGTGTCTATGATGTTGTTGTGAATTGCTCTGGGATGAGAGCAAAGGAATTGGTGAATGACTTTTCCATGGATCCTGTGAGAGGTCAAGTATTGAGGGTAAGTCATTGTCTCATGGCAAACCTCAAATTGTGTTTGAAAATCCTAGTTAAATTCCAAAAGCGTTTATAGCGCTCCTTTCGGAAATTCCAAGTACTAATAGCTGTGATAGCGAAGGAATTCTGTATGAATAGAGCTTTCTTGTTCCTTGATTTCTCACATAGTCATGCTCTTAATCAGGGAGCCCAATCACATCTAATGAACTGTCATTAAATGCCACATCTAATGAACGCTCACGACAACCTTCAGTGATACATTTTTATCCGCATGAAGAGAAGACTGCAGAAACAGCTGATAATACGTTCCTTCGTGGTACTGTATCTGAATAATGTGTGAAAAAATATCCCTTGTCCGCCAATTCTAGGTGTATGCACCATGGATAAAAGAGGCTTATGCACAGGATACCAAGCACCTTCATAAACAGGAGAGATACTGTTATATTCTTCCACAGTAAGGCGGAGTAGAATGTTTTTAGGCCTTGACTCATTAGGAGCTTTTTTAGATGGAACTTCGTTTTTTAATCTACTCATTCATTTGTCATCATCGTATTTGCATTCCTTATAATTGAATATTGAATATAAAGCGAGGAGAAGAAAATGAGGGTTGCCCAATACACACAAATAGATTGCATCGGAAAATGTATGTTAATGCTTCTATGTGTTGTGTATGTGATGTATATTCACTTACAATTTTATGTAAAATGGTCGGATATTTGCAGCTATGAACTCAAGGAAGTTCTAAGGCCTGAAAAAGAATTCAGGCCTGTACGTGATAAATCAATGTCTAACTCACCTTCTCAGCCACGATGATTCCATTACGAAATTTTATGGTCATGAAAAGTCTATCCACACTAGGTCCAAGAGTTTTCACCAATTAAGAAAACCTGCAACGTCCAGCAAAGAAGGCTTCTTTAGAAGCCAAAGGATATCAATCAATTGCGGATACAGGGGTAATTCAGGGGGTCCATACCTTCTCCTTTCCCTCATCATTTGTCCTCTTTACTCACTGTCTAACCCCTAAATTCTTGCCATGACAAGATTGCATGTTATTATATCGCTGGCAGCACCCGTAGGTAATATGAATTGAATCTTGTGTTTTGATTGGCTTCCCGAGCAGGCAAGATGGGCTCATCTTATACGCTCGTGATTGCCCGCTGTGGTCCCGCGTACGAGAAAAATTGACTTGGTACTTACTTAGTAATTTTTGGACAGCGTCAGCAATTGAGACTCAAAAAGCGGCAGAAGACAGTCAAAATAAAGAAAATATAAACGCCTCGTGGTTTTATTGTGCTAAACAAGGTTTGCTTTCTTTCCCGGCTCTGGTTTCTTGATGAGAAATCCTTCCTTGACCAAGCCTATTCGGTCAAAATGGCTGGAGAGTAGCCTCATCTTTTTTTTTTTCGCTTTTTTTTGGAACTCGACATAAAAATGCAAAGGCGAATTCGGCCAGAATCCAGCCATTTTGACCAAACACGCTTGGTCAATAAGGCATATTCACTACTCAATATGGGGTGTTTACAATTAACTTTCTTGAAACATTTCTTAGCTTTTTTAGGCTACAGTGTAAAAGAGTTAGTGCATTCTGAATCAAAGTTTAGAATACCGTTTAAAAACTTCCAGGATTCACTCTTAATTCCAATATGAAAACAACAATTTGGTAACATACAAACATTCTTTTTTTATATTTTTCGCTGAAAAATAACACATGACCACGCTAGCAAAATATTAATGGCTTGCATTTCTCTTCTTGCAATTGCAAACGATCTCTTCGGGTTTTGGTTTTGCTCTAACTTAAAAGTGTCGCATTTCTGCATTTAACAAACAAATGTGCTTGACTTCTGGAAAACGAAAAGACCGCGCGTGAATCAAGTAGTCTCGGAATGAAAAAAATTATACAAATGAAACAGACTCCCCCTCTATTCATGTTGTTCGTAATATCTACTTTCACGAGACGCCTGTCTTAAAATGACAGTAGTTTAGTTTAATGAAAACGTTGTCTTCAGTAGCGGAATCTGTACTAGACATTTTGGAATTTTCATTTAAACCAGAGTTAGAAGGGAACTAATAACTCTGTACCAATCTGTTTTTTGAAAGGATGAAATTTACACCGTAATTCAATAGTTCTTGTGCTTACCACCTCCCACCCCCCGTTTTTTTGGTATAATTTCAAGCACGAGAGGTAATCACCTTTTGTTGAAAGTGTTTTATTTTTCCTTTGCGAGTGATGTAGTGTAATTAATTCTCACTTGTAAATCTGTGTTTTGCACAAATTTTGGTGGATGAAATAGATGATAAACCCTGCACAGTTATTCTCGTAGATTGCATGCGTAATTATAGTTGCCTACTCTTATTTTCCGCCTACCTTGAATCCGCCTTTTAACAGATGAAAAGAGTAACAAAAATGAAAAGAAATTTCTTTTCACACATAAACAATTGATTTCAGGAAAACAAAGATTGCGTGATAAGAAACACTTATAGCTCTGAAGCAACCTTTACCGAATCGGTCTTCTCAGAGAAAACGTAAATCACATCACCAACGACTACAACGCATGCATAAGTGATGAACAAACCAAAATATAGGCATGCTTGCATGCAAGAGATATTTTCTTAGCTGGGTAGGTGGAGATGGGACACTTTGTGTTCGTAACGTTTTAATAACTTTCAAAAGAACGAAAATATCGCATTCACTTCAAGAGAAAGAGAAAAACGTAATTTATCTAAACTCGCATAGGTATGGTGTTGTGGTCTATTGCCTAAATACTTCTGAGAAAAAGATAAGTTACATATGAGCAAAAACTAAAATGCATCGGTGCTACGCCAACTGTATTCTCCTTCGCAGCCGTTGTTTGGTCTCGTCTATTCCCCTTTGGAAAGAGAGCCGTTGCGTGACGAGACCAAATAACGGTTGCGAAACTCGGACTACGCTTACAGCCGTTCCTCCAACGAGAAAGAAAATCAAAATTATTTGTCCACAGTTAGTCGCCTCAAAATTATAATTCCATGTAATTTTACTGCGAAAAGCAAACTGAAACTGTTGTATCTTCAATAGACCCTAACCAAAGACATTGCGATCTCGTATAAGGGAAGATGCACTGAGCAAGAGAAAAGGATCCTATTCAGAGAGGGCTCCTTGATTGTTTGTTGCCTCTCTGGACTTTGCCCTTTGTGTGTGAAATACGTGATAAACTGCAGGTTGTTAACAAAGAATTAACGCGCTTGGGTTAATTCCAAGGTAGCTGATAGTGAATTTTATTCGCAGAAAAAGTTAAAACGCTACTATCAGTAGCATAAAGTTTCATGTCAATTTTTTTCAGTGGTATTGGATAATGCGATTAGAATACGTGATAAAATGCAGGTTGTTTACAAGGAAATGGCATGTGATGGAGCGAAGTCTAACGTGGCAAGATAGGATTTGATTGGTTGAATACAATTCAAGCGCGTGAAAAATTGCGTAATGTTCATGTAGTGCAATGATTGGGTATGTTCTGATTGAAGTTTGAACGTTGTTTTCATATTACTTGATGGAATGGAAGTTGTTTGGCGTGTTCGTTGTGAGAAAAGGAGTTGAAAAACACGTTTTAACTTAAAAATGACACAATAACAATAAATGCCAACCTTTCTTATCCCGATAAATCTTGACTTCACTCGACGAGGCTCTTGCAAAGGCCACAATCATAATACTTATTAAATGAGCCCAGCCCTCTGATTCCATGACATAAGTTACGAGAATACAATACCCAAACACCGTGATTGGTGCATGATATCCAAATGCTGTGATGTGGTTGATGCGAGATACATACCCTAATGCGGTAATCTGATTGGTGCGAGATACATACCCTAATGCGGCGATCTGATTGGCGGGAGCTACATAACACTCTACATGCCAGCAGAGAGTTACCTTTTTTGTAGATTATAAAACTAAAAAAACCGGCAAATTTAGAAACACGGTTGAATAAGCTGCAAGGTTCTTACTCAAAACGGCTACATAACTTGGCTTTTTATCATTAAATCTTCTACATCTACAATACACATATCAGAATATAGTTGCCATATGAAACGTTATATGGCAACTGACCTAATGATCGACTACCAAATGTTGACTTAGACGTGGAAATGTGGAGTAAAGTACCAGTTATCCCGAATGTAGGATTATTTAGCTATAATTGTAGAATGAACTCAAACAACGTCATTAAACCCGTTATACCATCTTCGAATTGGCTATATTAATCAGAGCAGCCCTACAAATACTTATACCGCGCTTTCAAGAAAAATGATCCAAAATAGACTTTCATCGTTTTGTAAAATACCAATTATTTCAGATTTCACACCCCTTAAAGATGCATTCTTTGTGAAATCGACCACTGTAGAAGACAAACATTTGAAATCTTTTTTTTTCCGTTTTGGTTTTTGGGTTTTTTATGCAATACCTTCCATTTGGCAGCCTCGGAGGAGTAACTCGATGGCAAATTTCCAATTCTCGATCTGCTCGACATATCGATTGTAATAAATTAATAGGAATGCAAAAAAATGCCGACATTCTTTAAGAGGGTGATCTCTGGTGACTGACATTGTGCCATTTGATTTTTGTTTTTGCCGGCTTAGTTCCCCTCGAAAAGGAAAAAAATAAAATGGGTTTCACTTCCATCGAATTCAACATCTCACAACCTCGTTTCATGCCTTTGAGAAAAAGACATATTTCACGCATACTGCACATGTCTGTGCAAAGCGCTGTTTCGCTTAATCGATTAAAGAACACGATATATTTCACGTGATCCGCCCTGGAAATACGTTGTTTTGCTTCGTGGCTTTAAAGCGAGGCATATTTCACGTATGCTACATTTGTCTGTGTTGAGTGCTGTTTCGCTCAAAGGCTTGAGAAACTAGGTGTATTTCAAGTCATCCGCGCTTACCATGAGTTGTTGCTCTTCATTGCTGTAAGAACGAGGCATATTTCACATGTACTGCGCTTGTCTGAGTTTAGGATTTCCACTAGATTTCTAGTCATTCCGATGGACACGGCTGTTTCACTCAAACGCTTGAGAAACAAGTTATATTTCAAGTCATCTGTGCCTGAAATGAGTTGTTTCACTTCATGGCTTTAAGAACGAGGCATACTTTGCATATACTGTATTCGTCTGTGTTGAGCGCTCTTTCGCTTAAAGGCTTGAGAAGCGAGGTATATTTTAAGTCATCCGCGCTTGAAATGAGCTGTTGCGCTTCATTACTGTAATGACGAGGCATACTCCACATATCCTGCAATTGTCTGAGTTTAGGTTTACCACTAGGCTTCTGGTTATTCCGATGGGCTCTTTTGGATTCCGTTAGACTCCATCGGCTTCCATCGGACAACATTTCTGCCCTCCCTGATGTTTATCTGACTTCCGGTAACACACCTTCCGTTGGAAGGTGTCACGAATATAATTTTGCCTATTCCATCGCAAAACCACGTTTTATATCAGAATCCATTGGTGTGTATCGGACATATGAAGAAAATTAGAGAGATTTAAGCAGCTATTGGTTTTGAAACCTACCTTTGCCATTCTCTCCCCAGAGCAAATGGTGAAGTTGTTCTTGGAGGGACTGGGTATCATCATAACTCAGACACAAGAATAAGTGCCGGTGATACGCGACACATTCTGGAAGTGACAAGAGAACTAGTACCTAGTCTCGCTGTGAGTTAATCATTTAATAATGAGACTCTTTTGCCATATGTCAAATCTAAAGGAAGTTTTTTGTCAAATTTCCAAATGCAGAAGAAGAAGTTGAAAATATCTTAGTCTGTGGAGTGTATGGAATAGAGAAGTGTTGAAGCAGAGATCAAGTATTTGATATTATTGAGCAAGTTATTGATACTTTCGAATAGGAATGATTTGTTATTTGGTTTAGCGTGCGATTCGGCAATTAAATTTTGATGTCCTTCCGCAAGTGGAAACGGATACTTGCGGTGACGACTCCGAACTCTTTCTCAAGACAAAAATGTTTTTATCTTTGTTATCTTAATGAAAATTTAAGCCCATGGCACAGAAGAAAAACCCTGTGAAACCTTGGGCCTATACGTTGTACTTCATCGGGAAGACTTGGTGGCTCTACAATTGTGAGGGCTTATGTCACCAGAAGAGTAACCGATGAAACAAACAATCCGACCTTTATTTAGTTCTTTTTAACAAGGTCGAATACGATAAATTTTGAGCTCAGTCATCGAATTGAGAGAGATTTTGTTTTTATTAGGGTAGGACAAAGACAAAATTTATTCTCCATAGAGGACTTGACCCTCAGGAATTGGGATTTGGTAGTTTGAAGTTCTGTCGATGAGCATCAGAGAATTCGATAGTTCGCGAGGTCGTTGTATACTAAGTTAATATTTGACAAACCTCCTGCCCTCCGATAAGATCATCAATTTAGCAAGTGTTAGGAGCTTGAGGACCATATGACTGACTGGGTGAAAATGCCAATCCGCGTTGGTGTGTACATTAAAAAAATGGGGAAATTTCAACCTTCTTTCAGCCGGATCAATTCAGCTCTCAGTCAGGGTTACCTAACAAGGAGGGCCGGCCGGCTTGACAACGTTCTTCATGCGAACGCTGGGAAAGATTTGACTGCAAAAGGGTTACCCATCGGAGTAATTTAACCCGTGTTAAAAGTTTGATTTTTTTTTCTCTTTTAGCGAGCTCCAGTGTTGGAGGCGTGGGTTGGACTACGACCTGGTCGACCCACTGTCAGGCTTGAAAAGGAAGTTATGAAATTTAACAGCAATCTTGGAAATAAAAAAACCCTGAAAGTAAGCTTGGAACTTATCATTAGTATGTTTCAATAGTGTGGTAACAGTAACAATTTCATCATTCTATTATGTTCAGTTTCCACTGGGTGTCCACACAAACTCGTTCTTTTTGCTATGTATTGTATAACTTTGACCGTTACTATGGATGGTATTTTGTTTCGAAGTTATGACATGATATGCTTGCGGGTTATGGCTAGGTATATTGCAATCCTTTCTGCTCTTTAAACATTTCTGCCAAACACATTACGGTTTTGTCCTTGTGTATCTCTGACACACCAACATGCGCTTAACAATCACGCATGGATGAGCGCCCTAAAAGCCCACATATATGAGTCATGAAAAAGTTTTGTTCATATGTGATTGCTTCGTGCATGAGCAATAAATTGTATCATGTGCAGGAAACTACCTCATACACGAGAAAGGTAAAAAGTAACTCCGAATCGCGACTTTCCTGTTCACACTTGAAGTCAATCTCTAATTGTGAAGCAAGTCAACTTCCCATTTCACACAGCATTCTGATAACTGAATTATACATTCTTTGTAACTGAAAAAATCGTATTCCATCCGAGAATACAGGACAATTACGTAATTATCACTGTGACTGTGCATCGAAGAGCATAGAACGTCATGAAACTTCTAAAGCACCTCATGAACTTATCAGTTACACGATGTTAGGATGTAATGCTCGCAGTCTAATAGAAGACAATTCACAGATTGCAATAAATAATTTGTTGGAGAACTTTGAACAACCACGGCTGTGAGAAACATGAATGAGAAGGAAACCAACCTTACAAAAAGGGCCATTCAGTTCGATTTCTTTAGAGTTACTTAGAAACTTTCTCGTGCATGAGGTAGTGCAGGCATACGTGGTGATCCATTGCTTTATATCATTGCGGCATATTAGTGTAACGCAGCAATAATGTACAACGTGACTAACCGGATAGCCACCTTCATGTATGAACGCCGGAACAGTGCTCCTCCTCTCGAGTGTTAGTCGCACTTCTTGTTCATCTTATGCTTAGGTCTGCTCTACTGAAAAATGTCCAACTACGTCTGCAGTGCAAGCTAGTTTGTGATAGCCAGTTATAAATTAAGTTTTTCTTTGTGGTTTATTGGTTTTTTGCTGTTTGAAGGTTGTCCATAATTATGGTCACGGTGGTGGAGGACTCACAGTACACTGGGGTTGTGCCAAAGACTGTACTGACTTAGTGCTTCAATTTCTCGCAGAGGGGCACAAAGCAAAACTTTGAAAGTCAAAGATTTTGAAGTTAAAGTGCCCTCGTCTACATCTCATCGATATTCATCATATTACAAACATTCAGAATAAAAAGCTCCCTCCACAAGTGAAAACTATGCGACACTCAAAAATTGATTTATTTTGACAGCTGACTGAGAGATTAATTTGGGTACTGAATGATGTTCAAAATGATGTATCAGGCTTATAGGTTACAGATTAGGAGTCTAGTCATCTCAAACCGCTCGGACACCATCAACTAATAGTTCAGGATGGAGACATTGAAACGAGTTTCGGAAGTAGTACGTGTTTGCATTTGTTTACCTCATGTCACTGTCAGTCCCTCTAACAAAATAAATGCAACATTTAAACCTAGCCTCAGTTTTCTCGGTCATTTATTTGATTTCTCACTGGCTCCTCGCATGATATTTTCGTTTAAAGTAAGTGGTAGTTTTAAGATAATTTTTTTTCTTTGCTTTCACGACATTTATTCGTAAATAGTCCAACCAAAGAAGGAAGGTTTCATGGTCCACGCCTTGATATAATTCCTCTCCGGCAAGCCCAGGTGCCCGTCGAAAGCACAATGTGGTACCCGAAATGAAGGGAGTGTGGTACAGCTGGAACTCGATATAATCAGAATCTTCCGCGTAATACCTTTTACCCCGCAGTGGACGGGGCCTCAGTATCCCTATTGGTGAACGATGAGCCGCAAGATAGGAGTAGGTCTGAACTTTTCCTTTTTCTTTTTTCGAAGAGTTTCGAGTTGACAGTTTATCTTTGAGGATTGGTTGCGTACTTTGAGTGAAATAAAGTACGAGGTGTTGCTCGGAAACGGAAGGTGCCTCTTGGTAGGGACGAGCCCCAGGCCACGTGGTGCAAGGTTTAGGTACAGAGCACCTCGGATTTAGGATTGGGCGGGATTCCGGGAATTTTGACTGCTTGCTCACGGCTGAAGTCGACGATCGCTTTCTTGTCATCGTTTTCGTGATGTGCTCTTAACATTCCTGAACACCTTCAACACTGATCTCCTCAGCGCTCCCCAAAAGTCTTGTTTGAAGAATGAGTAAAGTAAAGGGTTTACCACCGAAGTAAGGTATCTCACAATTAGGATGACGTGTGCAGCCGCCTCCATATCAGCATAATTTAGCGTAATCAAACGTTGACCAACTAAAGAGAAAAGTAGGCGCAAGGTAAACCACGGCAGCCAACACATGGCGAAAACGATTGCCATGGTAGCAAAAACTGTAAAGCACTTGTATTCGTTCCTCCTCTTTTTTTGTGTTTTAAATCTCTGTCGGTTGTTTTGATTGGCGTTCCTATCGCGGACTTTCCTAAATATGGTAACATACGCACAAATGATGAAAGTGTATAGAGCCGCGAAGATCGTAATCAGGCAGAAGATGTTAAATGAGGTTTCTAAGACTAATCCGATGGGATTCTTACCTAATCTCAAGGAAAACCAGCCAATTGGTGCGGCGGCTAACAACGCTGATGATAGCCAAGCTCCCGTAATAGCCAAACACACTGTCTTCTTCTTGATCACGTGGTACTTGAGAGGACGCAAGATAGCCATGTACTTCTCAGCGGTTATCAGGAAAATGTGACAAGCGGCTGCAATGGCGACGAAATTGTGTGAGACTTCCATGGCACAAACAAAGCTAGCATATTGAGTTTGGTCCACCACTGGAATAAAGATCACAATGAAAAGAGGAATGTTTAAAGAACCGTTCATAAAATCGCAAATCGCCAAGCTAAACAGCAGATAGTTCGAAGCTTTTCGTAATTCTGGTTTGGAACAGAAGAGAATGAATACCACAATATTTGTCAGAATGATGAGTAAGCTGATCGGAAGAAGTTGTGGTAAAACTTCCTGCTTTCGCTGCTCGTGCAGCAGTTGATCCTTTGTGGTGTTAGTTATTCCTTGTGAAGACATCTTGTCCTGTTCACGGAAAAGATATATCTCCTTCCAGCGATTGTTTGATGAATTCAAGTAGATTTGGGGTTTTTGTTCATTAGCCTTATCGTTACCAGCACCTGCTTGCTCCTCAGGTCACTGGAAAGACAAAGTTCTGCTTTCTGTTGCTTGTAATGCTGGAAAAGAGGAAATGAATAATTGAAAACTAAACCGGCCTCGTCGTCAGGGAGCAGGCAGTTGACGGATGTCATCACAGTCTTACGAAAGCTTTCGATTTTAAGTTTCAATTAATATGACTTGCCTCCGAAAACAGCCGTAGCGTAACTTATATACTATGACGTCGTCCCTCCAGGCGGAGTTACTGATTTTTGACCACATTTTCCCGAGAAAACCTAAATATTAAATATTTAAACACTAATGTGTTGCTGTTATCATCAGTATTCCCAAGTCAGGCGGGCTTCATTAAAAAAATATTACAGAACTCAACACATCACAATTCTTTTCAATGTCCTACGTTTTTCAAAACCCTTAGTGCTAATTAAAAAACACTCTAACTCTAGTGTTCTTCAGAAATAATCCATAAAAATTCTTCGCAAAACACAGGCGCTATCCAAAAAAAAAAAAATGCCTGAAATAAGGAAAAAAAATGATGTGTTCATCAGAGTTTCATCCATGTATGTGCTGACGTCTCATTCACAACAAGCAGTTTTTCAAAAGACGTCTAACACTCAAGTGAAACTCTTTCACTTTTCTTGAAACGAAGGAAAGAGAAAATTGCCAGAAGCATTTATTGAGTAAGTGCTTTGATGACGTTTGCGTCTCGACTCTCGTAGTTCTTGTACTGAAACACGAAAACACGCATTTAATGATGACTCACCCGTTAAATATGGTGTTTATGTGTTTGTTTTTTACCTTTTTTTATCACTTTGTCTTCTTGTAAGTCATTTCATAATTTCTTAAACCGTATGGTTTTAAAGTGCCCTCTGAGCGCGCAAATAAAAGGCTACTGTTGCCCTCAGTCAGTTTTATTATTATTTTTTTTGTAAACAAGTGAAAATGGAAAGGAATAAAGTAAAGAGCTCATAGCACTTCAAAGGGCACATTATGTTCCAAGGTAATACAATGTTGAAAGACTAAATCACAAACTTACCTAAAACTACTCGCACATAAGTAGATAAAATAACCGACGTTCAAAATTTTCCTCGAGAGATGGCATAGTCATTGTTGAGACATGATCTTTAATTAATGTAGCGCTGAGTAAACATCAGAATGAAATCTTAACCATTCCGCCATTTTGTCGACACGTTGAGTGACTTCTGCTGGCATTACATTTGTCAAACCAACTGTCCTACTTTAATAATTGACGGGCATTTGCTGTGTTATCCCAATTAACTTTGGGAAAATGAGTTCCCTTAACCACAAGAGACTGAATTGCACAAGGAGTAATTTCTTTTACTAAGATCTTTGGATTGAAATACAAATTATTCTAACGTTGTATTTATTAGTTTTGAGAACAGTCAAATATAATAATCGTTCATGTGGAATAAAGGAAGAGAGTAATATACAAGCCCTTTATAACCTAAGAGCCAACTGTGGACCGAATATTGTATTACTAAGAAATCTGCTTATTAAATAGTAGACTTACCATGAAAAATCTGATTGGTCGTGAGCATTCAATCATTATTTATTAGCATGTGAAATGACATGACAAATTCAATGCCTGCAGCGGATATTAAGTTCATGTTTGGTAGTTTTCAAGCCCCTCATTCGTGTATTTGTCTAAAACTTTTGTAAACCCAGGGGGAGTGCAGATTGCTTAAAAATGGTATGTGAAAACAATTATTGAATTCGGTTTTCACATGATACCAACATGATTTTCCTCGTGTCTATGTTATCTGCCTCATCTTCAGCTTCCGCAGTTATCTCGGACCCTGAGCTAGGTTTTGATAATTCATGATATTGTCAACCTCATCATATAATAGACCTTTTTAGCTTCATACGTCGTAGATCGGTTACCCGGTCCGAAATGGGTTAACAACAGTCGCGGCCATAACAATCTAACTGCAAAGCGCAAGAATGGTCTACTACCGCTGCGCTGTAACTGCCACAAATTTCAGCAAATTCGGATTTGTATTTTCTTATATATGCTAAGGATCCTAAGCTTCAGAATTTAAGTATCCATGCTATATTTCTTCAACTACTAGCCGCACGAATTTGTGTTTAGATCTGCATGAGCAAATGGTCAGAAAAGTAATGTCGTCTTGTCTCGATTTTAAAAGGTGTTTTTGGGTTTCTTTTAAAACATATGTGGAACTTTAGGATAAAAAAGATGAAAATTAATAATTAAAGTAACTTCCAGTACCAAAATGTGTTCGGAAGATTTCGAAGACGAAGATTTTATTTTGTAGACAGCCGAAATAGGAGATGGAAAGATGGTGCCTGTCCTTCATTGTCTCTATAGTCAACCAGTGGCTATTTCAAAAAGGAATAGTGTTTCGTTTCCGGCACGATAATGTTAGGCATGACTGTCAGAGATCAGGAAAATTAAGAAAAAAAAATTGATTTCTTCAAGGCGTGGGAAAAGTCTGGGAATTTCTCTTTTTGAGTCAGGTAGAATCTAAATCTTTAAAAGAAGTCAGATAGAGGTGAAATTCTAAGTAAATATGAAGTTGTTCATCTTTTCTCGGCCATTTTCTTGATGACAGATGGTGACACTTTCCTCTTTGATTATTAACATTACATAGAACAGTTGACAGGTTCCTTACTACTATATCCTTTCCCTAATGTTGAGGTTTGTTTTTGAATGAAATCATGCATTTTCCTTTTCCTCTGTCCATTTCACGGGCATGAAAGATTTTCGATTAGTAGAATTAGCTGATGCTGAGTTTCCAAGATCAATACTTTTTCAGTGTTACCTTGAGGAATTTTCAATTCATGTATACCATATGCGCCTTGCTGAGAGTTTTAATTAATGGGTAGAAAGGGTAGCTATGAGGAGAGGTTCGAGGTCATCATCAGGATTCTCTCGTGAAATTGTTACTTTAATGGGTCAGGAAAACTGACCATAAAGCTAAAAAGGTCTATTGCTTGTTAACTGTTCAGAAATGCCCCAAAACGGTACTACACGTAATGTGAGAAAAATTTGATTTAAATGATACAAAATCTTGGTAACAGTGGGACCTCTACCAGATATTTTAAAACCCTATGTGTGAGACAAAAAAAGGAAAAAGAAAGCTAAAACCGAAATAAAATTCTCAAGTAATCGAACATAAAACTTTCAAATTCAATGGCCGGAGGCGTTAGTCTTATTTTGCGGATCAATTAGAGTTTCAAGGAGACGTGTTTATGATATTTCGTTCGACGGAATCGAGTCATGCTGAATATCTACTTAAACTAATATGCCAAAAGCAGCTACAGCAACAACAAGGGCGACAAAACTTTGTACACAGACATCCCAAAAAGATTGGTCTTTAAATCATGTAATCTTATAAAAACAATTAGAATGTTCTAATGCTAACATTAGAAAAAAAAAAGTTGCTTCTTAGGGTTGTTAATACCTATAGTTCAATAAGGACACGTAATGCTTACTAGTTACACTATAAAACACGTCAGTCTCTAAAAAAAACCAACGGAAATCAGTTTGGAAATGCTCGAAGTGGGGATGATTTTCGAATTTAACTCTTCCAAAAATTAGCGTGGTGATTTGCTTTGCGTTGAAAAGGTAGAATGATAATCAGTTCTGCGCGCGGTTCTTTCGCTACAAAACGCAGTGCATCCTGTGTTTGTAATTTAGTGTAAAACAACCTCAGAAAAAAAGAGAAAAATTCATCCATATTTACAGTTTCTCCTGTCCAGGCTATGCTCCACACAAAACAAATCTTAAAATGGTACACTATGATAAAGTAACCCTTGCCCTTAACAGTCATGCGGAAACGACTTTTTAACTGTACTCTTTACTTTCGTCATGTGACACCAGAGGTTAATCAAGTCTGTTAATACGCTAACTTGCAACTTTAATCTCAATAGTCTAGTGGTTTTTTACAGACTTTTTTAGTATGCTTTAAGTAAATTTCGTCTCAAATAACTACCCTCTAACCTATATAATCAATGCTAGAAAGAATAAGATACGGAATAATATTTATGCAGACAATTATTGTAAACTTTAGCCAATAACATCTCTGGTTCAGCAAATCATCTGAACTATTGATCCTTTCTGCATCGTACTTGCTTTTGCTCTGTAACTACCTGTTCACCTAAAATGAGGACAATAACAATTAATGATTAAGAGTTCTGCTGAATCGGTACTCTTACGAAAAGGGTTTTTTTTTTGTTAAATATGTAACTGACAATTAGATTAGGGCCCATGTTGATGTTGTAAAACTGAACTTCAACAGCCCCTAACCCCTAAACTTCCCAAAGGGACTAATATTTAAAGTGTCCTTTCCATTACAAGTAAACGAGTGTAGCCAGACTATGTAAACACTGCGAAATCACTCGAGTATCCTATAGTTTTGTGTTAATTTAGAAATGCTTTAGGTTTGTGGGGTTGAAATTATCTTAAATTTAGCGTGAAAAGTTTGACGTCATTATTAAACTTTGCTACCCTGCATTTCATTGAATGCGAATTTTTATTGAAAGAGCAACGTCTCCACGTCAAGAACAGGCTATAGATTGGGTAAACGGTGATGGAAACCAATATTTGAATTGTTGTAGGATTTAATTGGGTCACTAACATTGAGACTGGATACAAATTTTAGTCGCATAAACTAAAAAATTAAGTTGAATTGAGGAATTCAGGTATAGGCAGAGTTAAGAAAATATTATTTGACTCAAACTTCGTCCTCTTCAGTATTCCCAAGACCTGTTAAGCAGTAAATGAAAACCAAGCCAATATCTATTTACTATACCTGTTGTGCGGTGTATTTTTCGGAGTGCTGATTCGCTTTGAAAGGCTCTTACTGGGTATACTGATGGCCCCTGGTCGATAGGCTTTTTAATATCTCGTCCAAGGCTAAAATGTCCCAATACTATTTTTCTGGTCGTTAAGGTACACAACACGAAGAAAATTAGGCAAGCGACTCGTTCTTTGATGTTTTTCATTGTAAACTGCGAGAAATCAAGTCCAGCAGAATAGTCAGTGAGAATAAGAAAAACTATTTGAGTTCCCAACTACATGTGGGGAGAGCCCTGCCTGGCCTAGGAATGGAAAATGATAGTTATGGAAATGTGTCCTAAATGCAGACTTGAGAGATGAAGAATGTGGGAGTTTGTCAAGATGACCATACGTAGAGCAGTGCACTAACGAAAGTGTCTCTAAATGCAGCTTGGACAGTAGCAATCATTCTGGATAGCTTTTGAGCGCTATTTTAAATCTTCACAATTTTTAAGTTACCTACCTTTAACGCAAGTGTATCTTCAAAGTGTCAAAATTATGATGCAGCTCAACAAATCTTTCTTGCGAGATTTTATACCCATTCCTTTTCGGTATAATTTTCTTTTTTCATCTTTCCTTCTACATTGTTAATTGTTTTTGTCGAAATGTTTACTCTGAGCACATTTAATTTCATACCTCACTTGATTTTTGCAATCGGAAATTAATTTTACAATTATTAAAGGTGACTCTATATTGAAGATTGTTTTACAAAGGTGGAACCTCTTTCCCGATATTGGTGTTTACTCAGAAATAATAATTGGAACGGCTGTAATTAAAGAATTAAAAGGAAATTATTCTCGGATTTCAAGTAAGAAATCCCAGTTATTTATCAAGACGAAGAAAAACTAATCAGGATGAAGAAGATTTCATTTTGAAGAGGTAATTCTGGTATGGATATGAATAGGATATAAGCACATTTTAGCAATCGACATAATCAGTAATATTCAGGTGAATGTCATCTCTTCCTCTCATCATTTTATTATCATTTAGACTTGTATTTATCAATACGTAATTTCATAATTTGGTTCTGTTCTCATAAAGTAGTTTAGGTTCCCCCAAAATTGTGCGGCTTCAAGGTTCAATCTTAGCTTCAATTTCAAATCCACTTCTCTTGTTTGAGAAACGTTCTTAAGCACAGACGTTTTCAGTTTGAAAATATTTCCTCTTTTCCTTTCTGGTTAGAGTGCACCACTTTGGCAAAGAGGGAATTTCCAAGGGGCGGTATCGGAAGTGAACTGAAAAGATAAAAACCGAAAACCGATACTTGAATTCGGGTTTTTTGATGGATTGTACTGATTTGTATTTGCACATCGATTTACAAAAGCGGAGCCTGCAAAATCAAAATTGTTAATTGGACGTTTCGGAGCTTTTTTGGGGATCATCTACCTGGTTTCCTTCTAGTTTCGTTTTTTCCTTTTCCTTTAAAGTTCCTCTCCCTCTCTATTTTTGAATTTTCTCATTTGAAATAGGTCTTGATTTTGATTGTGATAAGTAACAAAAGGTGTAGTCCCTTCTCGAGGATGAGCTAACTGCTTAAGTTAAATGTATTACTATTTCAAATGCAGGATATTTTAGAATTTCAAAAGCATAGTCATAAGAAACGTTAGGAAATGGTTATAACAGCATGCGGCCTAACACATGCGTTAACACCTCATTTCAGTCTGTTTTCTGACGCTCTTTGTATTTCCTTCTCACGTTGCTCTTCGCTAGATGTTCGCCTTTTTACTTATGCCTCTTCTTGATCTCTTTTGCGTTCTTCTCGCGGTATTCTGCCTACTTTGGCGTCCTTTCTAAATTTCTCTTACTTTTTTCTCGACTCGCTTTACGCCTTTTACTTCTTGCTTTTTTTGATCGCTCTGTCTATTTCTTTCCAGTCTATTTTCACTCAAAACCCTGTCTCCACGAACTTGAATTATAATTGTCAAGGAGCCAGACCCAACAAAAACTGGTTTCGTTCAACCCACCCGACAGAAAAGGTTTGACAGCTGATTCTGATAGACCAATACCTGCTCTTTAATATAAAATACCATGTAGTCCCGAATTGTGGTACCGCTAACGAGATAAATGGGGTTTTACACCATGATATAGCACTCAGCATGGAAACGAGGCTCAAACAGAAATTGACCTCAAATTTCATCTTCTTCCACCGAAGTGCCCCAAACCCTTCTTGAAAAATGATGAGCATGTACCTGCCTACAATTTGAGTGCTCACATGGTGCGACAGCATGTCACGTGACTGTCACATGACCATTTTTTTCTTCGAAAAGCAGTCTCCTTTGTCGATCCTGACATGTTTCAAATCCTGCTGAGACTAGGGTAAAGGTCTTATTCAGGCTTTTCATCTTATGTAGCAACAGAGAAATCATTGCAAAATACTGGTCCTGCTACAAGTGTCCTTGACTAAAGTACAGGTCTGCTCTCTATCTTCTTCTGATGATGATTTGTTCGGCGATGAATACTCGCTATCTATTGAAGATCAATACTGTGATCCTGAACGTTTCGTCGACCTCGTTCTTGGTTAAAAGGGTCTCTGAATTGGTCACTATAATATTTTGCATTTTGAAGCAATTTACACACAATATATGGAGGCTAAAGTGTTTGGAGATTTTAATATCGACTAAATTCAAGTGAACATTTAGTCGTCAAATTAGTGATACTCTAAGCTACTCGTCCACCAAACAACACGCCCAATTAGTGATACTGTTTGGATTTTGTATTTTCAAATGATCCCGACAGAGTCCAAAACATCTTAATAAAGGATATTGGACTCAGTGATCATGCCCCAGTTTTTGGTATTCGTCTTTACGAACGCAGTGAGTCACTCAGACCTCGCAACAAAGCTCCCACCATCAATTATCGTTATATGAAAATTTAGATGAAAACAAATTTTGATCTATTGTTCCTGAGGTCCACAGGGACAACATTTTTGTTTTGTAGGATATCTATGTCCTTTGTGTCAAAAACGTGTAGCGCAGGAGATTGAGGCACCTTAGATGTCAACAGCTAAGATGCAGGGACTCACTTCTTAAGGAAGCAAGGCAATCGAATAATACTGGCGACTGGAATATGTATAAATCTGCAAGTAGTCAATACAATAAAGATCACAAAACAGGAGTTTTACAAAGTTGGCTGGTGATAGGAACATGAGAGCTCAAACAAAAGACGAATAGGAATAAAAATATGCGATAATAATTTCAAATAACGTTTCAATGACTTGGTCATCATTTTCAGATTCTAAAAGTCAGATTCCTACAAGATCTTTAAATACTAAGAATGGGTGACAAACTCTCATTGCATGTCGTCAATAACTATACAATGTTGAATGTAGAGAGTGTTAATTTAGTACTAAATAGTTTCTCTTGATTGAGTCACGCTGAGTGTTCAGTCTAGGTTTCTTTTCTTAGATAAAGAGCATTCAAATTGCCCACGACTTTCCTTAAGGATGGTAAATTGTTCGCGTAGATATTTGTTCCTCTGATTGTGGGCGCCAATAGTTGAGTGTTTGTGTTCACCAATGCGTTGGAAAGGGAGTCGGGGAGTAGAGCCAACATAATCCACATCACACAGATCACATTTAAATTTGTACACAACGCATTGTACATCTATTAATGGTGGTTTGGCTTCTGCTACTTTGATGTCGTCGGCAATTTTCTTGCTTGTGAAAACTGGGCGCAGATCGCTGTTTATTTTCTTTCCAAGATTGAACGGCTATCCTTATACAACCTCGGCTGATCTTTGTTTCTTGAATGGCAGAATAATCCAGACGAGTGCATTTGCCTGGACATTGCGAAGTTGTTGTTGGTTTCACGACTCGATAAATCTTGCTATGGCGGAATTAATGAGCTTCTATGGGTACTTCAGTTTCAAAAAGATCCCTCGCAAGTTGTCATATTCTTCACCAACGTGGTGATAATGAGAGACAGTGGGCACGGTTTAAAACAGTCATTAGAAGGGTTTGTTGCTAAAGGGAATCAAAATGACTTTGATAGAGAAGGCCTTCATTTGCTGCGGACACATGTTTTTAGCCGTTTTCCAGTCTTTTTGAGCTCCATTCCGATGAAAGATAGTTTCTATGGTGAAGCTGATTACAGAGACTCTATGGAGAGCGAGGTCTATTACGTAGCTCTTATATGATACGCGTCCTCTACACTGTTTGTATCAGCAGGTGACAATGGCGTCGTGTTTGTAAATAGAATGAAACAGTTGATGTTTCTAGAAGCTCAACATGGTCTTTCTAGGTGATGTGAAGGTTTTGTGTTTCATTGATCCGATTCCAGGTGAAGGCCTTGTTCGCGAGAATCTGGATCTTTTCTTCTAGGGGCATATTCGTGAACAACGCTAACACCTCGCACAATATCAAAATATCGGCCTCGTTGAAATCCACCTCGCGGTTCTCTTCAGAAAACTGAAATACTTCAGAGTAGGTATGTTTGTTAACAGGCAGGGGTTTTATTTTCTCGTCAAACCATTTAGCAAGGGTGTAGCTGGTTATATGTCCCTGTGGAATTTTGTTTCATCGTTGATAGACGTTTCACTAACCAACCGAACGAAGTCAAATTTGTTCATGACGACGATTTCTGAACCTTTGTCCGGTTCCGAGATTACAATGCCATCTCGTTTCTTCTGTTGGTCAATGTTAAGACCTCGGCACAGTACGAGGTTCTGGAAGGAAGTTAGTTGATAAGATGATTTGTTGAGAATACGTTCATCGACTTCAATATCTGTGCGTTATATCCGCGCGATTTTTCGAATGTGACCGCGCTTCTTCTGATACTACCTCTTGTGGAGGACCATTGTTTTCAGAATGTATAAGTAACGGAAGAATAAACACTCCCGACGAATTTCATGGTAGATTTCATTGATTTGCTTCTTCAGGGCCACATCTTGCCACGATTTCATGCGTAGTACCTCCTGGATGACATTTTCAGAAAATTGCTTCGAGGACTACCTCCACTTATTTGCCTCTGCTACATTGATCTTGGTCAACGTTGGAATAAGACCAAAATCCTGGCAACGCAGTTAAGTTGTTTGGCGCTATCGGTTCACTAGCTAATGAAAGTTTAAAGTTTCCATGTTTAGGAAGCAGTTTTAATATTTTCCAGAGGTTTTTCAGCGAATTAAAGGCCTGTTGTATAATTATAGCTGGTAAGATTTATTTCGATTGTGAGAACTTAACTTTTAATTCCTTAAAGACACTATTAAACCACACCACGACAAAATAACAAAATCGAAAGACAACAACATCGAAACGTGTGCACTGATTCAAACACCGTCAAGCTATCCTTTGTAAATCTTTTATAAACCTTTTATGAATCTTAGTATTTAAACAATTGCGTAATTCAATCTATGGGGTGCAATGTGATTTTAACAAACACCTACCTACCTGCCTACCTACCAATTTTGTTTACTCGCGGTACGCTCCTTTCCTTTTGTGTAATTGCTTAGGTAATTATAGAGATGCACGTGCTATGATTGGTCGAAGATGGCGTCATATCTGAAGAAGAGATAAACGCAATAAAAGAAAATTCAGTACCGCAGAACAAAAAAGACGCTACTAAGTTTGACGTAACACTTTTCAAAGGTAAGATATGAAGTTTATCGTTTTTGAAATTAGTTAACCCAGTCAAATTCTTGAGGAAATTGATTACCTATCTCGATGAGAGTAATCAAAACGATTGTAACTGGATATGCGCAATGCTTTCTCTACTTATAGAATGGTTTCAACAACAAAACGAATTTACCACAGAATTCGAAAGTATGGAAGTACTACAAATGAATAAATGTTTGTGGAAGTCTTACGTCTCCGTGAGAAGAAAAGACACCAATTTTACCAAAAAAAACAAACTAGCTTGTTGTCAGTGCAAGCGGCCCTCGACCATAATCTAAAGTCATTACCGCTGCGCAAAAAATTTTCCCTTTGCGATAACCGTTAATTCAGTATAGCTAATAAAACGCTAAATTCTTACCTGAAGCAACATACCACAGACGGAAAAATAGTTAGCTCAGTCCACAATAAATATGGAACCACTGTGGCCTGACCTCTTGCAGTCTTGAAGCTGTATTTCAGCCATCTAAATCCAAACTCAGATCTGTTATTTCAAAGGATGAAAGATCTCAGCTACAAGAAGCTCAATCCCACTGCCTAAAACACCTGGTACGAAGAACGACGACTCGGTCATGAAACCCTGGAAAATATGCGGCGAAAGATGACAGAAAACGCAAGAATCGTTCCTTAGAAATAGAAAACAAGGCACAGAAATAGAAATAATTCATCATACATGAAGATGTTTTAAATATTGACCGGAAAGGCGCGCCATAAACCACACGACATTGAGCGCTTAGTCCGCCATTTGCTATGCCATCTAGATACGTGGAATTTCCATTGTGGTTTATCATCCAAGTGCATCCGAGCGATTTGAAAACATCGTGGTCTTGAATTTTACGTGGCAGTCTTCTGAAATCATCAGTGGTTTATTCCGGGTAGTTGAATAGTGGTTTCTAGCAATTCTCTCAAGACACTTTTTTTGGAACGGGGACCGTCGACCACGTCTCGCGCTCCAACAGGTGGAGCCACGGAGCAGACGGAAAACCTCAACCTGTGAAATGACAGGAAGAATAGTCCTAGCGACAAAGGTCTGACTAATAGCCAATTTCCAGAGATTTTGGTGCATCAAAGCGTCAACTAGCTTTGCGAGAGGTCCAAGTAACAAGAAGCAAGTGACTAATGAAAACTTGAAGTATTGACGGGCCTGCAGACCCCCTGCCATCCACGTGCGTTTTTTAACTTCTACCTTCAGAGATCAGCTCTGACCAAATATATTTTCATGACTTTCCTTTACGATGTGATTAAGTTCGTTGGTTTTGATTAAGGCGCCATTTTGCCATTTATTACACCCATTTTGAAATCACTGGTGGTCCCTGTAATCTGATTGGCTCTAATTGGTGCGATTTACTCACGAATCGCACCATTTTTTATCATATCATTTTCCCAGCCAGTGAGGAGGCTACACTGAAAACAAAACAACCAATCAGATTTCAAGGCTTGTATAAAGTAACCAATCTAATTGCAGGAAAGTGAAAGACAAAGAGTATCATGTGGCAAATTTTGCAACCTTTGTTTCCAAAACTCTTGTTTCCCCCCCCCCTCCCCAAAAAAGGATGAATTTAATTTCAAACTAGCTCAGTATTGCATCAAAAAAATATTTAAACTGACCAAGTGCTGTATTTGGGCGATTTCAAAATGGATGTAATAAAGAGGTAATTGAACTGTGTGCCGTGCAATTTTGATCTGAAATCACACTTGTGATTTCAGCCCAAATTGCACTCCACTCAGTTCAATTACCATTATTAGTATGTTCTTAAGGTTAAGGAAAGCCGGATGATATGGGGTCACACGAGACAATATTTTTTATGTGTGCTATTTTCTTAGTTTTTAAGTGACCCTTCCCTACCGGAGCAGATAACTCCACACATATATTTCTCCAGTACTTCGTCGGATGTGTTATATTCCCTAAGCGTATTTTGAAACTTTGTAATTTCGCATCGGACATGGAACATGTCAGATATGTTCTTAGGAAGCGAAATTTTATTCAGTGATTGATAGTTGTTTGATCAGATGGTAACCAGGTAACCAGTCAAGTCGCCCAGACGTCATCTCGCTCGAAGTGATGTCGTCCTGAATCTGAGTCGCGTCGCCCGAAATTTTAGTCATGTCACCCTTACGACAAACTGATGTAGACCTGCTTAGCCTCAACTACTTTACTAATAACAGATACCTAAGAGTAGAGAGACAAAAACGTGTCTTTGCATTAAGCTTTATAGTTATTTCTAGGATCACTTCCGGAACTTTAAGAGGGAACGCTTTTTATAACACCTCTAACGCCGGTTGAAACAGGGCCTACGTTGCTGTTTCGACCTTCGGGTGGGTGGCTGAGTTCTTTCTTACCTTCTGCAGTAAATCCTTGAATTTCTACAAAGGGAAACATGGCAAATTTCTCACATGCTTGATTTTTCCTCCTAAATAGCGACAAAAAGGCAATCAAATGGCGTAAAAGTTCATTGCAAACTTGTCTTTCATTCTCTTAGCCGTGAGGGTCGTAATGGCCGATAGACTGAGGGCCCATCACGGTCCATTGTGAATGAAGAAGGTGGACTTGAATGTTGAATTTTGGCTTGTGACTGTTGGATTATGTTGAACGACTGATGGAATACAAATCATCACTGTCAGGAGCCATGGGCTCTTGTCAGTGTCAATTTTTTCTTTAAATAATTAATATACCGCTTGATGTCTTTATGAAAATACAGTCGAACCTCTAGGAAGCGACCACCCGAATGTCAATTGTGGGAGGTGGTCGCTTACCAGAGCTCAGGGCACAGTGAGTCCATATTTTGAGTAATTCGCATATGGTGACCAAACCCTCTCGGTAGCGCCTGTCGAAAACCTGTAATGATAACTTTTAGCGGCTTATTTAAGGCGAAAAAATCTTTCGTATCTCACAAATTATTCAAAACAGCGTTTGGGACAAAGAAAGAAACTTGAAAGAAACTTGAAAGAAACTTAGCTCGTTTGTTACTCAAAGTGGTGTTGTCCAAATTTTTCTGGTAAAAGAACACAAGCAAAAATGCCACGGTAAAGCTACTTCGGGAAACAATTCTACTTTTGCGACATATGAGGAAACAATTTTCAGTTACCACGCGTGAGAGATAAACCAATTGTCTGTAAAGTGGTCTCCTACGGGAGGTTGAAAACAATTGGAAATTGAAACAAGGATCTCTAAAAGAGGTCGCTCATGAGAGGTGGTCGCTTACGAGAGGTAGTCGCTGACGATAGGTTTGATTTATACATAGTAATTTGACTTAAACAATTGAACTCTTGGTATTGCGAAAAAGTGGTCGATAACGAAAAAGTGATCACAAAGCGAGGTGCTGTATGCGCCATAGACGCCTGTGTAATTTGGTATATTTTCAGTCTAAGTAGGTCAGAATTATTATCTACTCAAGACATATGTCCTATCACAGGCAGACAACCCTGTGGGTTTGAAGCTGCGTGAAGTCAGTTATTTTATACGCTATTTGAACTCTTACATTGTTTGTAATTTGCAACGGTAGATCTCGGCAAGACGCGAGTGATCCCGAGAAATGTTTCATAAATTCCGCAGATCATAAACTTTTTACCCCCAAAATCTGCTTAATGACAGTCAGATAAATAAAGTTCACTTAACTTCGTTTCTCTATGTTGTCTCGAGTAATTTTGCGGGGTTTTGGGACAGTTAATTCTCCACTTTGCACTGATGCTCCTCCAAAGACAAAGGAAAGACACAAGGCGTGCAACTTCCAGGACCGTCTGGGTCGAACGCCTCCAGAACTTCACCGAATTTCTTCCGCTTCCAAATGTCCCTCACCTCCCATGCCAGCCTCGGGCACGTTAAAAATCCGTGCAATTGCCCGCCTCTAACCACCTCAAAAGCGTACTCGATTTCCGACATTCGCGTATCATCTGCCGTCGACACACGAAGTCAGGTCGATCATAAGCCTTCGATTGCGGGGAGGGTCGGGTGAAATCTGAGCTCAATAAGTGATTGATTTGAATTTTAATAATGGTAATTGAACTGAGTGGAGTGTGATTTGGGCTGAAATCATACGCTTGATTTGAAATCACAAGTATGATTTCAGACCAAAATTGCGCGACACGAGGTTCAATTGCCACTTTATTACATCCATTTTAAAATCGGCCAAATACAGAACTTGATCAGTTCAAATATTTTAATGATGCAGTACTGAGCCGGTTTGAAATTAAATTCATCCATTTTTTCGTGGGGAAAAAATAAGAGTTTTGAAAACAAAAGTTGCAAATTTGCCTTTCATTTTCCTGTAATTTGATAGGTTGCTTTAAACAAGCCTTGAAATCTGATTAGTTGTTTTGTTTTAAGTGTAGCCTCCTCATTGATTGGGGAAAAGATGCGATTAAAAGCAAAAAATGGTGCGATTCGTGAATAAATCGCACCAATTAGAGCCAATCAGATTACAGGGACCACCAGTGATTTCAAAATGGGTGTAATAAATACGGTTAATCGAAGGCTTATGATCGACCTCTTCGGTCCACATCATTTGTCGACGGCAGATGATGAGCGAATGTCGGAAATCGAGCAGGCTTTTGAGGTGGTTAGAGGCGGTTAATTGCACTGATTTTTGGCTTAGCGCTTACTTGGGAGCGGAAGAAATTCGGCGAAGTTCTGGAGGCTTTCGGCCCAGACGGTCCTGGAAGTTGCACGCCTTGTTTTTCCTTCACCTTTGCAGGGGCATGAGTGCAAAGTGGGGAATTAACCGTCCCAAAACCCCGGAAAATCACTCGAGACAACACAGAAAAACGAAGCTAAGTGAAATTTATTTATCTGACTGTTATTAAGCGGATTTTGGGGATAAAAAGGTTACAATTTGCGGAATTTATTAAACATTTCTCGGGATCTCTTGCTTCTTGCCGAGATCGACCGCTGCGAATTACAAAACAATGTAAGAGTTCAAATAGCGTATCAAATAGCGTATCAAATATTATATAATAAGCTGCGCCTCGTGTGCCACTTTTTTGTTCTTACACATTTTGACGTCATCTGTGATCTATTACTGAATAGACGCACGGCGACTTGGAATCTATTTGTTAAACTGACGTCACGCAGCCTCAAACCCATAGGGTGACAGAAATGTCCATAATAATTCCTCATACATGACGTACTTAAGATTTTCAGTGGGTAACCCCGTTCTGCTGACAAGGAGCCAAACTGACCCTGGGCTCGAGATTGCAGCGTGAGTTGAAGTAGTCAAACCGCTTTAAGAGAGATTTCAGTCAGAGGGAGGCAATTTTTTGGTCGAGTTACCGTTATTTCGCGTATGTCATTGAAATTCAAGTAGTTAAAGATGGTAAGTAATCATTCTTTTCCGACAGATCGACATGACTTACTTTTTTTACAGTCGCAGTGTGTCTGATCTCTGGTCATTCGTGTCCTTTCGAGCTAAACAACGAACAAGTAGCATACTCGAACGCATGTTTGTGTACCACTCGCTTAAAAAAATCTGGTGCCTGTACCCGCAAAGCTCGCACCATTTTACTATGATCCTCCTACACTTTGCGAACGTAATTCAGACTTTAACTTCCCAGGGTCATTTATGGCAAACATTTTATATGATACTTGGCAGCACTGGTGTGGTCTAAATTGAATTACGATGAGAGAAACGCATCTTTAAACAACTTCATCATAATGGTAAACTGCAGAATATTGTCTCTACTCGATGGCAGTACTTGTGCCTCTTGTCACCTATGTGAAACCTGGCCCTTCCTATGATCTTAATGTATCTGTGTAGTTTTCATTTTATACACATTTGATAGGTATTTTCAGCCAGTGTATTTACATTGGGTTAAAGAGCAAACAATCCTGATGTGAGACTTTTTATGAAGGTAGAGTCAAAATGGTAGGATCTTGGGACACTGATTAAGCTTATAGCAAGGGCAAAGTTGAATAACATCATTGTGAAGTCTTAGTCATTCTCAGTGGTACAACAGAATGAACTTGAGACCAACAGTGATTTTGTTTCTTGATGGTTCAGCTAAATTTGTGATGGACAAATTCACAAACAATCACAAATTTATTTTTTATTGGCCTCAAAATTCAGAAGTATGAGAAGAGTCTGATGGATATGAAAACAAGAATCAAATACACAGCACTCATCTTTCATTACTACAGCTCTTTTGAAGATATCTTTGCTTTCTGTTCTTTTTGTGATAAACTGTGTTTATTTCTTTACAGAAACCATTAATGTTACATGGGCATGAACGTTCCATCACTCAGATCAAATACAATAGGGATGGTGACTTGCTGTTTTCCTCTGCAAAAGACACAAAACCAAATGTCTGGTACTCATTAAATGGTGAAAGACTTGGCACGTACAATGGTCATGGTGGTGCTGTTTGGTGCATTGATGTTGATTGTATCCTTGGAAACTACATTAATGAACATTTTCAATAATGAGGAAATTTTAATTGTGCTCCCTTTTGGAAATACAAGCTGTCCTTGAGTACTTTCCTATTCCTATGGGTAGGGGTTTATGTCTGCGTTCATGAACTTGAAGAAGTTCTCAGATGCTTATTTCCACTGACTACTTGCACAAACTGAGTAGAAGCAGGAAAAAAATGTGTATGTCAAGATCCTCACCATTGAGAATATAGGAATTGTCATTCTTGGGTTTTGCATCCACACTTAAGGGTAGATTTTGAGAGTGTCGCATATTTCAGTGAAGCGCTTGTGGCTATATTATGATATACATGTGCTTTCAATAAGATTTGAAGTAGGTGGCTACCTTGGTAAAGCACCCACCAGAGAATAATGTGAAAAACAATTTTCTCCCATTAGCCCATTAGTTTCATTCAGTAGAGAATGGCTCCAAACAGTGTTTTCTGTGTTGATCTTTGGTAAGTGATCATTAAATGATTAGTCTCCTTTGTAATAATTGTTCAACTGATTGTTTATTTCTAATCAAGATTCTTATTTGCTGACATGCCATTCCTGCTGTCTGAGTTTCACATAAAAAAAAAATAAAAGGACATGTGGTTACCGCTTACTAAAATTTGAGTCAGTATGTTCTTGTAAATTCAATTCTTATTTTTCCTGGAAATGTGGTACACCGACAAGACAATATCATTGTTTTTACTCAGAATGTTTTTGTAATGGTAATAGTTGACTGAAAAAATCTAAAAGATCTTGAATGATGCAATTAGGTCTCACTTGTTGAGTTTGTTTGAACATTTCTTGTGATTGGAAATTTCTTTTTGTCACTTTTTTTTTATTGGGTAAAATTCAAGATATGTAACAGTGAATTCTACCAATTTCATTTCTTGGAAAAACCCTAGGATTATTCTTGTCTGCAGAATTGTTCATGTGAAGTTTGAAACAGTAATTGCCATGACAATTATTGCCAGCCTATCACAACTTATGCGGCCTCGATCCCAGCTCACTCTTGGAGTTTTTTTCCAGGGAAACAGGTCATTCTAAAATAGTCTGCATTTTACCCCTGGTCTGCAGTCTTCATTCTGCATTTTACCCCCAGTTTGCAGTTGTCTGCAGTCTTCGTTTTACACTGGCCACACAGCTGATGGATTCAGCTGCTATGAATTTTTATGTAAGATAATTGAATTAAATCAATCAACCAATGAATTTTAGCTGTTCCCACGGCTCGTGTTTCATATCAGATTGAAAACAACTGTTGTATCCGCTTAGAACAAGGTCTTCTTGGATTTTCAAAGCAAATACAGCTATTTTATATAAGGTTAGAAGCTAAGTATTCAATGGCTGTTCTTATTTCTCTATATAGCTAAGCTTAGGTTAATCATCTTTAAGCAAAGTTAACATCTGTGCAAAAAATTCCCAAATTTGATCTACGTGTGCTATCAACAATTTTGATTTTCAAGTTTGTTTTCTAACTAGCAGTTGAGAAGAACTGCTGTTGTTTTATTTATCTAATAATTTATTGAGTTAAGTCCAGCGCAAAGTTGTTTGAAAATTATTTCAGGTAACAAACAATGTGTACTTCTACTTTGCGCGTGACTGACGTTTGTAGAACATGCAAAACATACAGAAAAAGGAAAATGATTGTGAAAGAATAAATCTAAAAAAGGAAGACTGGAGAATTTAAAAAGTAAATGAAGTTAATATGCCATTACTAAGTTGACTATTATTTTTTATGTTATTGTTCTGTAAATTTGGCTTTGACATGGCAAAGTTTACCTGGCTATTCACAACAGAATACCTGCTGGAGCTCTGGCAGATGCTGGGTCTTATTGAAAGCACTGTATAATTATAGTTGAACCCCACTAACTGATTCAGTCAACTTAACTTGAATCCCCCTCTAACTTGAACCCAGTCAAATGAAATCCCACACTGACTCTAACCCAGTTAACTCAAATCCCTATCTAATTTAAACAAGATTGGATTTCCCTTTGGTTTCACCCCATTTCTCCAGTCATTTACCTTTAGCTAAGAGGAACTCCATTAAATTGCACTCTCTGTTAACTTGTTTTAGTTTTACTTTCCCCCAGCTCAAATTTACCTTGACAATTTGAACTTTTAAAAACATCAGTTCAAAAGGGTCAAAGGGTTAAGCATCACTGATTGACATGTTCCATTCTTTATTTGCAACTGATACAAAGGCAATAACACTTTTTCAGATAGTAATACATTTAGCTTAAGTATCCAAACAGAACATTTTTCTTAGAAAACAAACTTGACGTATCAAAATTACTTTTGTGTGTGTGAGATTGGTTAAAAAAATGATTCCTTATATATTGTTAACAGAATGATCGAAATTCAACACTGATTCCAATAACTTGAACCTCCACTAACTTTTGTTCTTGAAATCCTTAACTCCTTGTTTTGCTATTGAAGGGGAAACAGGACATTTCATTTCTGGTTCAGCAGATAACAGCTTGAGATTTTGGGATTGTGAAACTGCCACAACATTATCCAAATATGAAACAAAAACTGCCGTGAGGGCATGTGGCTTCTCCTATTGTGGTCAGAAGATTATGATGACAACAGACAGACAGATGGGTCATGATTGTATCCTTATGTTGTATGATATTAGAGAAGGTGCGTAGAGTATCAGCTAAATGAATTACAGTATGTCCTTGATTTAAAATTCCTGTAATATTTACATGTATGCTTGTTTGTTTGCAAATTTTTACTTTATTTTAGGCAAAGGGATCTTTGTTTCCTTATCTGAAAAATTGTGCGTAGAGTGACCTCTAACAAGGACTCATAACATTATTTTCCTATTAAATTTTACATTTCCTCATGAATTGTATTCTTAACTATTCAACATGCATCAAAAAAGAGAAAACAAAAAACCATAGACTCATGTCAACAGAAAGGAATTCACTTAATAAACAACATTGCACAAAGGATTGATAGCAAAATTTAAACAACCCCAATATTTCTTCTCATTGATTGGGTCATAGAGGTAGTTTTTAGACATCTCTGCTGGGTACAAGTTCCTTTTGCAGTAAAGGTGAGGAAAACATGTGAAAAGGGTGGGAGAAACAAATTAAAAAGGTGGGAGAAATGTGAAAAGGGTGAGAGAAACGTGGAAAGGGTGAGAGAAACATGTGAAAAAGGTGGGAGAAACATGTGAAAAGGGTGAGAGAAACATGTGAAAAAGGTGAGAGAAACATGTGAAAAGGGTGAGAGGAACATGTGAAAAGGGTGAGAGAAACATGTGAAAAGGGTGAGAGAAACATGTCAAAAGGGTGAGAGAAACATGTGAAAAAGGTGAGAGAAACATGTGAAAAGGGTGAGAGAAACATGTGAAAAGGGTGAGAAACATGTGAAAAAGGTGAGAGAAACATGTGAAAAGGGTGAGAAACATGTGAAAAGGGTGAGAGAAACATGTGAAAAAGGTGAGAGAAACATGTGAAAAGGGTGAGAGAAACATGTTGAAAGGGTTGGAGAAACATGTGAACTGGGTGGGAGAAACATGTGAAAAGGGTGAGAGAAACATGTGAAAAGGGTGAGAGAAACATGTGAAAAGGGTGAGAGAAACATGTTGAAAGGGTTGGAGAAACATGTGAACTGGGTGGGAATGATAGAGGCTTAGCAAGCCAGACAAGACTGTTACATTTAAGTTATGTTCTATTGAGGTGTGAACCCTATAACTCCCAAGATCTGAATGTTAATTCTCGCCTTTAGCATCTACGCATTTCCTTGTAAATTAGTTATGAGAATTTGGTGTTAGATCAAAATCACACCTTACTTGATAGGTTTGATTATTTTAATTACATAATATTATCTGCTGGGTTATGTATGGATATTGTTAGGGGAGAAGTCAGATGTTAATCTCTTGTGGGAATTAAAGGTTAAGAGTAGGTAATGGATCTTAGTGACTGCATGTCATTTTGCACAGGATTACGGTATCAAAACTAATTGCGTTGTAAGCTTTTGCATGGACACTCTTTTCCATTCGTTTTTGCAAAAAGGTTCCAAGGACCCAGTTCTTAGTGTACCAGTGGATGGGCCTAAGGTAACTGCAGCCCTTTGGGGTCCATTGGACCAATACATTATCACAGGCCATGAAAATGGTGACCTTTGCCAGTGGGATACAAAGGTGAGAGAATAATATGTTAATCTCAGTGCTTTCAATGAGAATTGAAGTAGGTAGCACTCTTGTTAACCCATTAGTTCCATTCAGAATACACTTGCTTCAAACAGAGTTTTCTGCGTTGAACTTAGAGGATGATTATGAAATATTAGTCTCCTTTGAAACAATTGTTTAACTGATCGTCTATTTTTAACCAAAATCTTTCATCTGCTAACATGCAAACTTCACACAAAGAAGTCCTCTAGATGGATATAATTATGGTTGATGGTGACCCAAATTTGAGTCAGTATGTTGTTGTATTCTCAAAATTTTATTTTGCTGGAAATATGGTGCAAGGCAAAATATATTTTTTTAAATTAAAACTTATTTATCATGGTAAAAGTCGCCTGAAAGAAATCTAAAAGATCTTGAATGATGTGTTTTACTTACTTTTAGCATAAAAGAATTCACAGAAAGATCCTTGGTTATCATCCAACATTGCACAGTACTAAACACTTTCCACTGGCCCTGTACAAAAAAGATACAAGATAATATCCAGTGTGCATCAAATCTCTGTATGCACATGTTTTCAAAGGTTGATGCTACGATCCAAACTTTTCTTCACCTGGCTAAGCCAGATTCTACTGTTTTCCATTCGTACATCTTTTTTTGACTCATTATTTCCTAAAGTATTTGCATTGTAACGCCATGATCTTTGTTTACAGAGTTTTCTTTTGATGCAATTGGAAACAAACCTCTCGGTCACCTGCCTTAAAATGCTAAATGCATTTTCTGTGATTGCAAGTTTTTTTGTGTGTTTTTGTTTGTTTTGTTTTTTTCCTTACTGGGTGAAATATGTAGCTGTGAATTTTATCAGTTTTATTTAGTGGAAAAAACCCCAGTATTATTCTTGTCTGCAGAAGTGATGCATTACTGATGGATTAAATAAGATAATGTTTACATAAGATAATTTAATTAAATCAAGTGAAAAATCATAGAGCCGCTAATTGCTTCACAAAAAGTCATGAAAAGTCATCACTTACTTATGTTCTGGCCAGTAACAATGAGAACAAGGTCTTCTTTGCTTTTCACAGCAAATGCAGCTTTTTTATAGTTGTTCTTTGTTTATCAAAAAAAAAATCTATGTTAGCGTGTAGAGTGGTCTGTTGCTCGCACTAATTAGATTGCCGCATAATGGTTTGTATCTCGGACCAATCAGATTGTTACATTAGGGTATATATCTCCCACCAATCATATCACAGCACTGGGATATCTTGCACCAATCACAGTATTTGGGTATTGTTTTCTTGTAAATGATGTCATTGAATCAGGGGGCTGTGCACAAAGAATGACATTAAAAAGAAATTTTGGGCCCATCTGATAAGTGTAATGGTTACTCCCTTTTGCAACCATTATTTGGTCTCGTCCCGCAACGCACTCTCTCTCCAACGGGGAATAGATGGCGATGCGTGACGAGACCAAACAATGGCTACGAAGGAGACAACAGTAGGTGTGGCACCAATGCATTTTATTTTTGTTCAGAAGTATTGAGAAAATAGAGACAACAAACCCCAAAATACACGTGTGAGTTCAGATGAATCAATTTCTTTTTTTTTATTATTTCTCCTTAGGAAAAGAAATATGATATTTTCATCCATTTGAAATTTATGCTCTTTTTCTGTTTCAAAAATGAGAACATTAGGTTCACAACGTGTCCCATATAAACCTGCCCAGACAAAAAAAAAAACTCTTGCATGCTACTTATGTGTTAAATGAAATGCAAAGTGTTCAATGGCTTTTTTCATTTCTCTCTTCAAAGCTAAGCCCTGGTTATGCGTCATGCGATTTTAAGTATGCCATTTTAACAATTTTGATTTTCAAGTTTGTTTTCTAACCAGCAGTTGAGAAGAACTGTTTTTTTTTAAAATTTTTTTTTATTTTTTATTTTTATTTTTTTTTTTAATCTAAAAGTATTTAATCAGAAAAAGAAAATTTAACAAAAAAAGACCACAAAATTAACCCTTTTTAGTATTTTCCCTTGAAAAATTTTTTTAAAAGGCCCTGCTTATTTCTAAACACATTTATGATAACCTGTGTATTTGTGACTCCTAAGGTTACCACTTTGAACCCACATCCTCATAAAAACTCCTATGATTCCTGCTTTATGCTCCAGTGGTATGACAACCAGTTTGGTAACCCCCCATTTTTCATACCTGGATAGCAATTAGCATATCAAGATATGTATTTAAGCAGGGTTTTGGAAAAATATTTAGTACATTGTGGGAGCCATCATAAATTATGAACAATTTCTTTTTTGGACTGTTCACACATAATTTTTCAAGACTCTTCTGGAGGATGAATCTTGATCAACTTATTCGTAATATTATAGGTGTTTCTGATGCTGTAGTGTTGATATATGAATGAGTGAGTGACTTTAAAATAAAAACCATGAAAGTAACCTCAACATGGTCCAAATAATTGAGCATTCTTTGACACCACTTTCAAGAAAACAAATCAACGTTTGGATGCTACTATCTATTAAAGGATCTATGTTGTAACTTTATAAACCATTTTGAGTCACCTTTATTGGGTTTGCTCACCTACGAAGGTGAAAAGGTCTGTTTGTTACATCCCAGTGCTAAGTCCCACTCTAACTCCCATTGTTTTTTTTGTGGGATCATACCATATCCATGTGCAGTTTTTAAAAGGAAGCAGCAGTATTTACTCACTGATCTTTTTATTTTCAGACGGGAAATAAATTGTTAACTGTTCATGAACATACCAAACAAATCAATGATATACAGATGTACAAAGATCAAACCATGTTTGTTACAGCTTCAAAAGATCACACAGCCAAGGTATAGGTGCAAATTGTACTCTTCTTTTTGTTTTTTTTTTCCTTTTTTTATGGAATGAAAAAAAATCATTGAATTTACAACATCGCCTCAGGCCTGCTTTAGATTTCACAGAGGTAAGGTAAGGGAAGTGTTTAAAATAATATTGATATGTTTTAACAATTCGAAGGAGGCTAGTCTTTGTTTGACATTATTACTGATAAAACCAAAAGTTGCATATGGCACAACAATCGGGCTACAGTGTATATGTATTTTTAATTACTCCGAATATTTACTTATCCATTCCCCATTTTGTTCCCTTGGTTAACTGTTAGTTAATGCTGAAGTTTTTCCTATACATCTCTGAACTTTTTCCTGCCTTCGTTTTATAGCTTTTTGACACAGATTCACTGCGACACATGAATACGTACAAGACAGAGAGACCAGTAAATTCTGCCTCGCTTTCCCCTATTAGAGAACACGTAAGTCCTTTTTTTTTTTCTTTGAATTTGTGAAGGCCTAAGTTATGAGAAAGGTCTTCAATTTCAGCTTTTCGCTGCCACATTGGTAAGTTAACTTAGATGTTTCACTCAGTTTCTTTGCACCAAAAAGTTCCAGAACACCTTGTAAACGTGAGAGGTACAGAACGGGGTACAATGTATGAAAACATTCCTTGATACATGTATATGGTATTTGCTCTACTACATAGAAGTAACTTTCTTAACGTGCCAAAAATGCAGCTTAGCCATGCATAAGATCGCTGGGCATGTGCTATCGTTGTTGATCAATGCTATCGGTGTGCTTTAGCACCAACCGTTTCTGAGTTGTGGAGAAATTGAAATTCAAATGTATTTAACCTTTTCACTTTTCTTTTGCGCCATGAAAACGGAATTCAAACTCTCTTTTGCAACAAAATTTCTCTTTCGCCATTGAAAAAGAAAGAATGATCATCAATTTTTAACACTGGGTAAACGATCAAGTGGATGAAATCCACATCAGTACATAGCAAGGTACTCCTGAGGTAAATCCGAGGGTTCTGATTGGTTGTTACTCGGTCCGTATATGTATAAGCCGTGTATCTTTGGTCGCGAAAGCTGGAAAATTCAAAATAAACAGGTTTGGTCCGAGTGCCATATAATATACTTCCTAAGCTCGCTTGCCTGGGCCGCACTGGACAATATTGGCCCTTGGCCGCACTGTGCTCTGTCCGTACTGCCACGACTCGGGCCAAATTCTCCAGTACAGCCCTCATGCTCGGGTAATAAGAAATTCATATTGGACCGTCTAGACAGAATTCTTAAGTTAGTTTTGGCGGTCAGTGTGATGACGTGTTAACTTTTTAGTTTTGGGAAGAACCAATCTGTTTGTAAGAGTTTAAGCGTTGTACAAAACGCGTAGAATATTAATCTTCTCTTCAACGGTGCTCTACCTTAAGTCGCTTCAACTCTCAATACGCTCTCCGTGTGTTGCAATTCGCTGACAAGTTTTTGGAGGGCTCGTACGTCAAAGTGAAAGGCTGTTTGTCACATGGTTTGGTTTAACAAGAAGAATTATTTTTTAGCAGCAAGAATAACAAACCCTCGGCCCTAGTTCAATCCCTTCTCTAGAATTGTTTTTATTCCGGTTTAACGAAGGCATGATCGATAGACCTGTTTCAATGGAATAATTTCACAGCTGAGAGGCTCATCGACTATTTAATCCAACATGTGTTTGTCTTTCTTAACTTCCCTTCGCTTGTTACTGTTACGAAAATGAAATAGCAATCATCCGAAAGTAAGTGTTTGGTTTTTTTCCGGAGTGTGACCTAAAGAGTCCCTGATTACCCTGTTTACCACTCGAGAACAAGAAAACAAAAGTTTGGCATTTTGTTTGATTAGCGCCTGTGTTTCCCTCGTATCTCTTCATTAATTACTTACGCATTTTGCCATCAGGAAGAAGGGATTGCTTAAGCGTGCAAACTTCTAAAGTAGCGGAAGGATACACGCCAACTCTACTGTATTGAAACACACCTCTCAAAAGGTATCAAACCCTTATTGCATAGTTGTACCCGAAAAACGTGTGACTATTCCTGTGTGTCGTAGGTGGTACTAGGAGGCGGCCAAGAGGCCATGGATGTGACCACAACTTCAACGAGAGTTGGTAAATTTGATGCAAGGTTCTTTCACACGGTTTTTGAAGAGGAAATTGGTAGAGTGAAAGGTCATTTTGGTCCCATTAACAGCACCGCTTTTCATCCAGACGGAAAAAGGTAAATACAGCAATAATTTCATTCTATTGAAGTGCGTATGACACGAAACATTTTTTTGCATTTTCTGGTTGATAGCTATATTTAAAATGATAAATAATCGACCGTAGCGCCCAGCGAGTTCTCCTTGACCATTTTTTTGTAAATTGAAAGTACGATCTGGCGGCCAAAAAATGTCTCCATTAAGCGCGCGGCCAATACGATCATGTTACATTGCTGTGACGTAGAAAACTGTGAAGACACGTCAGCAATTATGGTGGAGAAAGGAGAAATCTAGAAGAGAAGATGAACGTATTGTGTGGCCGGAGCGCCAGATGATGTTGGCTACAAGAATAATACACATATACCGGGTATTTCTGTACACTACTTTCCAAAGGATGTAGCAGAATGGCCAAAATGGACGCGTCTCGATCGTCGATATCGGGGAAATTTTACCCTTCAATATCGTCTTATCATGCTCCGTACCGGCTTCGAAGACGCGTGTTACGAACACGTACCACTAGTCAAATCAGGGGAAGATAACCTAAGAATTCAGCCTAAAGGAATGCTGATTAAGGGGCCTGTTTCCACACCGTAGACAATTGTTCAACATTCTTTTTCGGCTGACATTTCGCTGGCGAAGAATGGTGAGCCTCTTATTCTTGTTTATTTCACACACTTGAGATGTATTCATTCTCCTTGTCTGCGCACATGACTACATTTGCGCTTTTCTTATTGTATGAAAATCCTACCAATTGTGGTTTCCATCGTATTTTAATAACAAAAATACATCATTTGTGATGAAGTTCAAGTCTTTCCCGAGCTTTCCAGACAGATACACTGTTGCGTGAACAGTACGAAACTTCTGGCGGATACTAGCATAAACACAAGCTCGAAGGGGCTGTATATTCTCCTAAGACCTACCCCCTTCCCTCAAAAAACTAAGGGCCTGTTTACATGGAGGTGGGGGACCTCCATGTAAACCGCCTGTCCATATAATTTCTTATTTTATTTTGATCACGTTTACATGATAGGTGGGGTGACCTGCCTAGGCCAACACCGGTCTGCTAGGTAGGGTAACCCTGTCAGGCGGGGTGACAATTTGCCACGTAAACGTGTCAAGGTGTGGTAACCCGCTTAGCCGAGGTCGCGTTCATGGAAAAAAGCTAAAAAGCGAAACATGTATGTCTTAAAACTTTATACATTTCCTAGCCGTCTCACGGCAGAAATCACCAGAAACCGCAACGGACATACAAGGCATGTAAAATGTTCACATTTCAGAATATTTAGCGTTGTAAATAGACCATATTTGGTTTTCCAAACAATTCCGTATAACGTATTAAGTTAACGGTCCCTCGCGAAACCAAATACCGCGTAACGCAACGAGTGACGCTTTTATGAATAAATACATATGTGTCCGAGAATTAATCTTTCGTCTTTCTCGAGATGTGAGCTTGGGACGCCTTTGCTCAAACTCCTTAACTGCAAGCGCAACAACAACCTCAAGAAACCTCACCCCAGCACCCCGGGGTCGTAAGATTGTATGTAAACGCGTTTTATTTTTCGACCACGGTTAGGCGGGTTACCTCACCTACCTGGGGTCCCCCACCTCCATGTAAACAGGCCTTAAAAGTAGTAACAACAGCAATGTCATTGAGATAACAGCACTGAAACGAGGTAAATAAAGAAACACAAATTTTATTGAATTAGAAGGTCGCGAATCCAAGTGCCGTGTGAAAATCGAATCATACGAAATAATCATTTACATGTCAGTTATTTCCTTTGAGCGTAATGGGTCTTATGGCAATGCTTCACTTAAACTAAAAAAGGTTTTCTGTGTTAAAATCCCTATGGTGATGTTAGTTATTTCCTTTGGGCGGAATGGGTCTTATAGCAATGCTGCACTTGAACTAAAAACGTTTTTCTTTATTAAAATCCCTATTTGAGATTAATTTGAATCAGAGGACTATAAACTCGCTCGTTTTCCGTTCGGTTTGGCCTGCTCGACGATCGCGACGACAGCCTCTGCTTTCGTAGTCTCTGAGGAAAGGAGCAACTTGCAGTGAAACTGCCCGATGACTTCTCGGTGAAAAATCATCGTGCCTCGTGATACAGCTGATTCTTTCGTCAAAAGCTAGCATTTGGTTTACGAAGGGAATTACTCTACAGCAACGAAACTCTAGAGCACTGACCCAGGAGAACCTTCGCCGCACATAGTGCAAAGGAATAAAATGTTACGGCAACAGAAACGAACGCAGCTACCCATTCTTAACATTGATTTCGCCATAGCAAACAAAACAAACGCAACAAACTAAATATTCAGTAACGGGAATTTATTTATTTAATCTTGACCTGGACACCGCAGGCGAGAAACCGTCCTTCTCAGTCTTCGTCGGAATCTTCATTTGATGCGCGCGGTTCTCCTTCGTAGGGCTGAACCGTACTCGCAACTTCCATTTCTTCTCTGTCACTTGAGTATGATGTATCTCAACTCTTGGTGGAGCTTGCTGAAGGTTGGTACACATCGCTATCGGACATTATTGCAAGAGAATTTCAACGCAGACTGATTCAAAATTACAAGAGATGTGAGAGATTTGTAAGCGTCAATTGAGAGTTTTCACAGTTTTCTACATCATCACCCGCTGATTGGTTACCAGTCCACGGTAACTTTTAAGATAAAATAAGAACACTATAGAGCCCGAAAAAACCGAGTTTTAAGTGTTTTGAATTTTTTTTTCTATCGGAATTGGTTTGAACATCTGATACGCTAAATACTTACGCAAAAAAAAAAAAATTCGTGTCATAGGCACTTTAAGTTTGTTGTTATTTGTGCCTGTGTTGATGAAATTCTAGTCTTTTCCACCACTTGAATACATAATTGCTGTCACTCCTATGACTATGTAATGCTATCTTTCGCAACAATCATATTTATATGTTACTCGACCGGAAAAAACACTAAAGCCTGGGCAAGTAATACTTGATGAAATAAATGCCAGCAAAGCGTTATAATGTGTTCGTCTTTTGGATCACATACTAATTGTATATGTGCACCATCCACATCAGAAGCGCATAAATTTCCCCACTTTGTTGATAAAAAAGCTGAGGTTTATATGACGAGCAAGTAAAACCTAGTTCCATTTGTGCCGGCCAAATATGGAATCCTATTGTTGAAAGTTTGAGCAGTATTTTGGGTAAGAAAAGCTTGCAGAGGCTTTCAAAAGTTGGGACTTTTACATGCGCCAGTAAGTGCAGGATAAGTCAGGTCAATTTCATTTCTCTCGTGTGGAAGAAACTAGTAGAACATTTTTTGCAAACTTTGAGTCAACGTTCAACGCACTGACGCAACAATGACGCAATCAACACGATTCAAGCGCACTGTGCTCTCCCGCTAAATTTAAGAGCGGAGGTTGACTCAAAGTTTGCACAAAATGTTCTACTAGTTTCTTCCACACGAGAGAAATGAAATTGACCTGACTTATCCTGCACTTCCTGGCGCATGTAAAAGTCCCAACTTTTGAAAGCATCTGCAAGCTTTTCTTACCCAAAATATTGCTCAAACTTACAACAAGAACATTTCGAATTGACCGTCCAGGTTACAATCAACAATGCAAGAAAGTGAAAAAAATGCGTACGATAAACCCGCAGATTATCTCGAGTTTTCTGTTTGGGAGTTGTTCAAAGATATGCAAAGTTATAGAGCTCAACTGAGGTCAACGATATTTTCAGAATTGATTTGCTTTCTATAGTTTGAAATGATATTATACGCTGAGTCAAAGTAAATGTGTCACTACAGGCTCCGTTTAAATTAACTCTCGCAGAGAGTGATATTGAGAGGGACTGTTGAATGACGTTTTGACAACTTTAGCGGAAATCATCATCAGAGTCAAGTAATGAGACTCATAAAATTTGTATTAGGAAGATTTTTTGATTGGCTAGTCTCACGGTGTATTGAAACCCAGTTCTGCGACAAAACTAACTGCTTTTATGGTATTTACATGTACATCCTGTGGAATGAGGAGAGAAATTTTGAACTCGTGTAAGTATTTGTCAGTTGGGAGGAGGGAGATTATTATGCCGATAGGTTGCCCAGGAGGCTGATAAAACTGTGGCTTGTTGTTTAGCGCATACGTTATCTTTGATGTTTTACTTGCTTGTTATTGAAATGTTCCCTCCATTTGCAGTTACAGCAGTGGCGGCGAAGATGGTTATGTGCGAGTCCACGTTTTTGATCCTTCGTATTTTGAAGTGGAATTTGAATATTAGTCGAAATAAACCATGTCACTGTTAGTTGTTGAGTGTTTTCTTAAATCTTCCGACGCTTGGGTTTTGCTGTCGAGTCAATCCATTTTCATAGGCTATCGCTCAGGTGGAAAAGCGTGTACAATTAATCTATCTTGCGAGTGCACCTTGCGAGAATTTGATGCCTGTTCCTTTTACTCTAATGTGATCTAACTAACCTTCAATGACATTGGATCGGCTTCGGTAAGGACAAAATTCTTGTGTTTGGATATTGAATGGGAGCAATAAAGTCGGACACTATGCTTTTGAAATATTTCATAGTTCAGCTTGTGTGAACGTACGAGACGGTCTTGTAGCAAAGGGGGTAAGTTTCTAAAGAAACTTTGGTGCTGCGTTGGCGGAAGGGTATAGCAGGGTAATTTGGTAGTATCAACTGAGTTGATAACTTAAATTGGCCAACGTAGAGAGTTTTAAAGCTGACGTTTCGAGCATTAGCCCTTCGTCAGGGCGAATGAAATATTCTCAGAAAGGGCTAACGCTCGAAATGTTAGCTTTGAAACTCTTTACGGTGGCCAATTTATGTTATCAACTAAGTTGATATTACCAAACACCCTGTCTTGGAGTAATCTTAGTGGCACTCGATCCCGTTGGTAGTGCAAGCGATCAAGTCTAAGAAACAACCTCCAGTCACATTTTTAGTCCTTTTTCTCGCAACTTGTAATTTCATGCAGTTATTCTGAATAAAATGTCTAAGAAATATGCAAAGTTGTAAAGCGCACGAGCGGCGTAATTTTTATGATCATGAAGTCTTTTGTTTGGCCACGAACTTGGGCCGTGGCTTCCTGGTTTTAATCGAACTCCCCAAAAACTGTAATAATAATAACGATAACGATAACGATAATGATAATAATGTACATGAGAACAGTACGGGCTTCTGATTGGGTGAAAAAATTGCATTTCTGCAGGTAATAACATTTCGAGTGCAATTTGGTGTAAATAAGCGCGAGTAACAAGACAAAATTGCGCGAGCCTGTAGGGTAAGTGCAAATTCAAAAGAAAGTAATAATGCACACGAAAAAGCATCAAAGAAAGTTGGACATACGAAATATGGAAAGGGTGCGTGTGCCATTTGTAATTTGCACTCGTGTTATAACTTTGTACTCGTGTTACATGAGAATGCACTCGATTTCAGCCAGTCAGAAGCGTAATTTTTTCATCTACAATATTACTAGTCCGTTAGCAGAGACCGGAAAATCGGGTTTCGTTCAACCCACGAGCCAGAAAAGGTTTGACAGTGGATTTCATCAGACCAAGAACTCCTGGGTAAGGCTCGCTACGTCGTTAAGTCGAGAAGTGATATACGATCAGAGAGAAAGGGGGTTTTGATACGTCACCCTTTCGTCAGTACGAAAACGAGGACATTTGTTTACTCCTTTTTTTCGAACCCTTACAAACATTTGCGGTCCAACCACTCAGTTCGTTCAAAATACTTGCTTCATTGGTTTAGTTTTACCATAAAGCGACGTCACGTGACATCGCGTGACAAGGAAAATATCTAAGAAACCCTTGAAAATATAAAAAAATTCTTGTCTTTTTATAAACAAGTATGAAATTTGATCCTCGGCCTCTCTTATCACAAACCTTTTATCATTTGGCTGTCCAAAACGTTCACTTCATCATTTACAGGTATTTTGTTCTTCGTTTAAAGATCGAAGATCAGTGCCTGGTCGATTAAACTGGCAAAACATGAAAACGAGGCTAATACTCTAAGTTGTTTATCCTCTGCTTCTAGTTTAAGATGATAGTTTTAAAGTTATGAGACTGTCATTACAGTGAATTCTTGAAGAACTAACATCAATTCTTTTCAGAAAAACGGTTTACATGTAGTAATATAAATCAGTCTTGACCAAGATGTCCTCTACATCTACAATCTGGCGGTTAAGAATATATGAAGATCATATATTTGAACTGCGGATAAAGACATGAATGAAAGTGATCTTCGCAGTGATGTGCACTACTTAGGCAGTAGAGCGCTGCACCGGTATCGCAGAGGTCATGGGTTCAAATCCCGTACAGGCCTGAATTTTTTTCAGGCCTTATTTTCACTACTACCTAAGTAGTGCACATCACTGCGAAGATCACTTTCATTCATGTCTTTATCCGCAGTTCAAATATATGATCTTCATATATTCTTAACCGTCTATTCATCACTTCACGGGTTTATTTAGAACCACCATCATGACCAACTCCCAGTTGGCTTGTTAGCTCAGTTGGTAGAGCGCTGCACCGGTATCGCAGAGGTCATGGGTTCAAATCCCGTACAGGCCTGAATTTTTTTCAGGCCTTATTTTCACTACTGCCTAAGTAGTGCACATCACTGCGAAGATCACTTTCATTCACATCTACAATCTACTGTTACAAACAGTTTAAATTTTGCGAAACTACTACTAAAAAGCAACTGCGTTAGAACATTGATCGTTTATCACCCAATTAGGAAAAAAATAGCGCATCTAAAATTGTGTGCACCATACTGTTTGAAACGGCACGTTAGGGTTTTCAAGAGTAATTAACTATTTATGTGGTTGAGAAGGTGCCCAGCTATAGCTAATCGTTGCTACCATCTTCAGAGTCACTATCAAAATGTAGCGGTGTGCAATGAGGGTTCTGGCAGGCTTCTTCATCTGCCATACACAAACAGGACTCTGTACGGGGAAGGCCAGTACACAGAACAAGAACAACTTGCATGACACAGAGATCTTCTGCATTGGCATGTGGTAAGTTCAAGCAGTGCTGGGTCCCTGGTCATCAGGACAGGTTTCTATGTGCCAACCGTTACTTTCACGTGATAGTTGTTGCTGCATCGCTGACAAACATGTGCCTGATACATGTGCCTCCATACATGTACCTGATAATTAGCTCGCTTGATGCGTTGAGTTAAGACGTCCGTGTTAGGGGGAAGTATTTCGCCTCACTGTTTCTTTTGGCAAAACACTACATACCTACACAAAAATAGCCTTAAGTCAGATTTTAAAGAATGTATGTACACCTATAATTATATTTATACTGTTTCGCTCTTTACGAATCATATGTTGGCATGCTGATGGGCAGCACTGCGCTTGAGTACATTCCTACCTGTCTTTTTTCCAATCCCAGCCAAGGAACTCTTTGAGTCACACCCTGTGAGGGGATGAAACCCCAAAAATGCGTTACACATTTGCTCTCCTAGTTCTTGAGACACTTTATTTACCGGAACAAATCTTAACCGGCCATTTACACCTGTTTGGAACCATAATTCTTCACACGAAAGGCTGTGAAAGTGCGCCGTACGTATGACAAGTACATCCTCTGTTATACGATTTTCCTTTTATTAATAAAAATGTCGTCCCAGCCGTATACACCGCTGACTCGACCAGCAGATCTTCAAGGCCCGAGTTTAGGTACTTTTTGCCAATAATCGCTAAGAAGTTCAATGCGATATGAAACGTGTCCATTCAAATCACGACATCGGAAAACTCATTAAGAAAGAAAAAATCTCGGTAAAAGGGAAAACTCGTTCGCAAACCTCCACTGTATTTGCTTGGCCTTCACATAGATAGCAAGATCAAATGTTATTACTGTATCTTCCTGACCCATGGTATTACTGATGGCTTCAGCGTGCTTGAGAACAGTGTATACTGTTCTGAACTCCGTTGAAGAGCCATCTATTAGGGGGCAGTAGCAAACCACGCTAATTTCTGGTAACTCTGGATGAAGCAGTGCGTTGAATGCACTCCATCCAGGAACTAAAAGACTTGCGATTACTTCCCGAAGCAGTGATTCTGCTAGACCTGAGGGATGCAACCTCATGACTTTCCATACTTCTTCAGCGCAACGTGCTGACTCAAGCACCTCACTTTCTTCTTTAAACCACTCTTCTTTAACCTGACCAGTATAAAATGTGACATGAGGTCGTCTCTCAAGTGCAGAGCATTCTTGTAGTTCGTAAGTCCTTCCCCCCTGCATGTGGGGATAGTTTCCTGTCATTGTGAATAAAGGTGTAAGTTTCTAAAGAAACTGTGGTGCTGCGTCGGTGGGAGAGTATAGCAGGTAATTTAGTGTTAACAACTGAGTTGAAAACGTAAATTAGCCACCGTAAAGTTTACCCCTTACGGTGGCTAATTTACGTTTTCAACTCAGTTGTTAACACTAAATTACCTCCTGTCATTGCGGTTTGCCAGTTGGACTGGGGGTGGTTCTATTCCATACGGCCGTCTCTAGGATACAACCATGAATGTCGCATGAGTTGTGTTTTTTTTCCATCGAGGGTTTCTTCATTGACATCTGTGTTGTCTGCCACAAGTTAAAGAAACGGGCCAGGTGCTATATTTGTCGGTACAACAGTGCCATACTTGTCCGCCCTAGCTAGTAGTCCCGCTGCGATACTAGTGTCTGTCGCACGTAGTTCGTCACAACTGCAACAGTGTCCCATTTTGTTGAGGAGTGTTACAAGGAGACGCGATGAGGTGAAATGGTGCAGACATAGTGCTAGGCCTATGTGCTTTGGAAGCTTTGTACGACTATTGCATGAGCAATGAATAATGTCCTGCCCAATATTAATGACTTGATATTAGTTCTTCGAGGATTCACCGTAGTGACAGTCTGGAAACTTTAAAACTATCATCTTAAACTAGAAGCAGAGGATAAACAACTTAGAGCATCAGCCTCGTTTTCATGTTTTATCATTTAATCGACCAGACATTGATCTTCAATTATTAAACGAAAAAAAAAATACTTGTAAATAGTGAAGTGAACGTTTTGGACAGCCAAATGATAAAAGGTTTGTGATAAGAGAGGCCGATACTTGTCTATAAGAAGACAAGGATTTTTTATATTTTATGTTTTGTGAGTCAAGCCATTTCCCGAAGTTCGAAAAAATCGAGTAGAAAGCTGAAAGTAACATGACCAAACCATGAAATTCACTCATTCCGCAGTTGGACTAACTCCATTTCACCCTCGAGTTTGTTTTTACCACACATTTGCGGCCCGTCATTTAATTCTCAGATGTTTGACGGGTTCTCAAATGACAATATTGTCAAAATCAAATTACCGCGTCAGACTTAATGTAAACATGAACATCGCTGACTCAATCTCAATTTATTTCAATTTTGGGGAAAGCCATTACTTTGTTTCTAGGGTAAAACAACACATCTTCGACAAAGCGCGTTTTTTTAAATAAATAGAGTAAATCCTAAGGTAGTTAACTCAAGAAAGAAAGAAGTAGAAACTTGCTCACGCCGTTCGCTATCATTTGAAACTTTCCACGGAAAACAAAATCCGTGAAATAACTTCTTTTCCCTCAACATCACGACTGTATTAAACATTCCAAACGATAGGACAAGGAATAACTTGAAGATTACGAACTCTTAAGAATGTTATTCAAGCGATGAACCTTACGCTTACATGAAAGTCATTGTTTTACTGAAACGTGATTTGAATTATATACAGACTGAAGCTTGTATCAAACGACGATTGATAAAAAAAAGTTTGAATTTTTCTGGGCCTTAGAGTAACAGAAAACCCAGATAGGACACGACTTATCTCCTCTTCTTTCTCGGACCCTTTGTAGTTCGCTTTTGTTTGTTGATGACCTCTTTTCAGTCTGTTTTGCGTTCCTCTCGCCGTATTCTGCCTACTTTGGCGTCCTTTTCTCGACTCGCTTTACGCCTTTTACTTCTTGCTCTTAACGCCTTTTACTTCTTACCTTCTCCCTCCCCTTCCACCACGTAGTGGCTATGAAAGTGCCCGCAATGCAGTTGGCTGCGCATGCTAAAAGTAGCACCTTTTACGGTCGGCCGTACGGTCTTAAGTCCAAATTTTTTCGGCTTAATGAGTTACTATGATTTCGTATAATTATGGGGCTACGCTGCGCGCGCTGCGAGCTCTTCCTTTTTTTTTTTTTTCTTTTCTATCCTTTAAACACAATCGCCCTTTCCTGACAAGTAAAATCGACTTAACTGACGAATAAAAATAAAAGGATCGTCAATCCCCGCATAAAAATCGTAAAGTTCGTCGGCGATAAGGCTCAATATAGAAAAAAGCGTTGAATCACCACAAAAAACAACAATGGAGGTAATTTTCAATGTACAAAATTCTCAGTTATTGACTTTTTCTTTACCGATAGAAGAAATCTTTCAACTACTAGGTAAAAACGGCCCGTGGCAAATCTTCTAACTGTCGATTTTTGTTCTCAGCCACGATAAATTCCATTACCAAAACCAATGAATACGTAACTTTCTGTTTTTTTTTCGCATTTTGGTTTTCTTTCCTTCCTAGGAAATTTCGAACGTCACTCTCTGTGAGCGATCCGGATTTAGCAGCCATAATGCGAGAAAATTCCGACAAACAACCATGGATTGAGAAAGGCGAACCTGACCGAGTGGCGCGAAAGGCGAGTGACGTGTGAACAGCTGATTGGCGATATCAAACACATGTGGAAAATTTCGCAAAATACACCATTTCCATTTTCAAGTCGGTAATTACTCAAACCTGAATCAAAGTTGTCTACAGTACTCTTTTCCTTGATTCTGGTTATTTGCCGGCATGCGTATCACATCACCCACTTCAAAACGCACCAACTCATTTTTTGTAACATTTCACTAGAACGAAAATTTGACATCCCATATTCATACATTAGACAAAAATTAATGTTGCTTTCTCAACATATGTAATTTGAACCACTGTGCTTTTTGTTTCTACTCAATCTTCTCATGATGTAGTCATCTGATTTTTCCTCAATTTATTTTACCAACATGCTCTGTTCCAGATTTAAGTGCTTTTAGTGCAAAAGGCCTTGCAACTTTAGAAGATAACGTATTTGCTATTTTTTTTAATAATGGTTTAAAGATCATTGTCAACGAATACACCTGACCCGGTCAAACTTCGGCACAATATTTCTATTTTTGTATTTCGATCTGACAATGCAGAAAATGGATATCCGGGATGGTATCACACAGCTCATGTTTAAATGTGAGTTGTCAGGAATCACTTCGACAAAATATACTGTTTATGCTCTCGTTTTGAACGAACAGGAAATGAAGCTACGAAACGAAAACAGTAAGTTGATTCTTAGTGCTTAAATGTCGAATTTGATTTCAGAGTTTATGAGGACAATCCAAAGATTGTTATTTTTTAAAGTTATATAACCGTATATTATATACGATTTATGACAAGTTATTTTTCATATCGTGTAAAATTGATTGGTAATCAGAAATCAAAACTTGCTGATGCTAATCAAAATAAATCGGCAGTCACACTAAGACTGTCAAATGATGAATTATCGGGTTCCGATCAACTAACGCTTACAAAAACACAAATGAACAAAATCAAAAAAATCAGTGTCATGTGGTAAAGGTATGGATCTCAAAATCAGTAAGACATAAGTAAGGAAAGTAGTTCGACATGGCGGAAGCTTGTGGTCATTATCACTGAAAATGGCACCACTGGTAATGCCACCGGCAAAAAAAGCTACAGGACCTATCGTCAATAGAGCTCTTAGTGATTTAAGCAGTCTTAGGGTGAATAAGCTATTCGGGAATGGCATTCAAACTGATGGGTGTTTGATACCTCACAATCGACTAGGTATGATGTCACAATACCGAGATTACCCTACAGATCTTCAAATGGCCTTACAAAAAGGGGCCAATTGAAGATCCAACAAACAAGAACACAGGGTAGTTTCCTCGATACTCTATCGGCAAGTGTTGGTTATACTCTTTTGCTTAATGCTTTCATAGGAAAGAGTTACAGGTTGATCCTCATAGATTAAAAAGATCGCTTCCTGTGCATGTAACAAGACAATCAAGCATGAATTCTAATAAAAAAGATGATGGTTTGATAGGACCTAAAATGTGGCAACCGCCGCCATTCCTCGATAGTTGGAATGATCCAATTGATATGGGTGTGGAAAAAAAAAGACCAAAACAAAAAGATAGACGGGCAAGGGATTGTTGATAGGAAAAGACTAGGAGAAGTTAAAGGTATTTCGCTTCTTAGACCGTTGTCTAGTTTTGATTAGTTGGCTTGGATCAAAAAACTGGGAATAAGGAATTTCAGAGGAGTATATAGCAGAGACAATTTACCTGCAAAGATTGCCAGAAAAGAGCGTAGGATCATCAACCTTGATATTGTAATCAGTTCTGGCACACATTGGGTCTGTTAGAGGAATATGAATAATTATTGGGAATATTTTGAAAGTTTTGGTCTGTTAATGCCGAAAGAAGTGAGACAGCATTTGAATACATCTCAAAAATAGTCGATCTATTCATCAGTTCTATTTCTTGGTAAGGAATAGTGTATTGAGTTGGTATTGGTTCTCGTTTTGTCGCAATGCATATAAAAGGATATAAAAGGGAGTATCTGTTTTAGACATTATTCATAATGTAAATTTTAACCCAAGAGACCATAGAGCAAATCATAGATTCATCAAATCATTTCAAAAATATGTAATCATATTAGAAAATGGTTAAACTACATTGTGTACGAGAAAAGAAACAAACTGAAACTGTGCCAGGTTCTAAACGTTATGAAAGAGCCGAAAATGGTAAACTGATGTTAAAATCGACTTATAAAAACTGTGGTATCACTAAAACTAAATTTGTACGACAGGGAAACTTGCAAACCCGTCTAAAGGGGCGGGCATTTTGAGTTCACTAGACACGGGAACAGAGTTATTCATTTCAAAGGAATACCTTATTTGGCTAAAAAGAATACAGAAGCTGCACGATATTATGCAAGTGAAGCCATTAGAAACCATAAGTTGCAAAAAAAGGCTAATTTATTGTTATCAACTGAGCTGATAACGTTAATTGGCCACTGTAGAGTTTAAAGGCTGACATTTGCTAACGAAGAGCTAACGCTCGAAACGTCAACCTTTAAACTCTTTGCGGTGGCCAATTTACGTTTTCAACTCAGTTGATAACACTAAATTACCCGGTTATACTCTCCCACCGACGCACCACAGTTTATTTAGAAATTTACCTCCTTTATGCAAAAAAGGCTGCCGATTATGCTTTGGATAAAGTGAACCCTGTTATTCATGATGTTGGGAATAAAGCAGTAAATAAATTATCCACCAAAATTTGACCTTATGAAAGGTATAAATCTGATAGAAAAGATCTCCTTAAAATCTCTGGCGGTCAAATAAATCCTTATGATTAGATGGAAATGTTTTCACCTCAAGGTGTTAACGATCCTACAAATCCATTGTATCAAAGTGGAGAAGGAATAATTGATAAAATTTTGGAACAAGCCAGTCCAGCAAAGAGATTGTCTGAAAGTTGTTGAAAGAGGCTTTTTCTGGACCAACGATGTCAAAAGGTGATACAAAAAAACTGTTGCTTAATACATAAAGAAATGTAAAAACGAAGAAAGAAAAGGATTGACTGACAAATCTCTTACTGATTGGGCACTAGAAAAGGGTTACTCTGAAAGACCCAAATATAGGTTCATTTGGGGGTGCTCTAGATATTCACAAAGCTATTGGGAAGCTACCAAACCGAAATCTTGTTGGACATAGCCGCGACATCATTATATAGGGCCCTATAACGATTCAGACTCACAAGTAGAATACAATCCCATAACAGGTGAAATTCTCGAAATTTATGACCCTAGATATCCTCCAACCTCCAACAGGTAAAACGCATGCTATTATCATGCAAGATGATAGAAAATGTAAGAATAAAACAGACAGAAAAATGGTGAAAGCCTTCAATAACGTGTCCTCTGAAGAGCGACATTGGGGTCATGGGTTGGCTTTAATCGACAAAGAACAAAAACTTGGTTTAGGTCTTTCAAAAAACTGAAAAAGCAGTCGTGTGAAAAAAACTGGCAAGAAAAACTAGCCGATGAATTACATAAACCTATAAAGAGGGATTTTACTCGACGGCGTGTGACTGTGAATCTCGTTGAAAAAATAGTGTTTCTGTAAAATCTCTTAAGGGGTGCAGACCTTGTTGATATGAAACAATTCAGTAAATGGAATAAGACGTATAAATATCTGCCTATGGTTATTGACGTGTTCAGTAGAAATGGATGGATAAAACCTTTAAAGGATAAGAAAGGTGAAAGTGTAACTGAAGCATTTAAGACCATCGTTAAAGAAGGTCGACAACCACAAAATCTATGGGTCGACAAGGGTTGGGAGTTCTACAATAAACATCTCAAAGAGTTATTAGACAAACATGATACAATAATATACTCAACAGAAAATGAAGAAAATCCAGTGTTGTTGAAAGATGTAATAGAACAATAAAACAGAGAATGTGGAAACAGTTTACAATTCAAGGTAGTACACAGTATTTAGACATACTACCTAAAATATTGGAAAAGTATATTAACAAAAAGCGCTCAAGCATCAAATGACGCCAGTAGAAGATAGTAAAAAGAAAAAAGAACTGTTTATTTTCATTTAAATGGTGACAAGGAGCATTTATCATCAAAACCAAAATTTAAAGTAGGTGATAAGGTTCGAATATCAATGTATAAGAGAAAAATTTTTTTTTTCACTCCACGGTGAGCGAGGTTAAAGTTCATATGACACACGTCCTGTATATTGCTCGGATCAGCAATGTCGAAAGCGTAATGTTTGTAGATATGTCGATATTTACAAGCATCACGCTTTCGACATTGCTGATCGACACTGCTGCAGTTTACAGGACGTGTGTCATATGAACTTCGTAATAGATCTCGCTCACCGTGGAGTCTCTGTGGCTCAGTGGTTAGAACATCGGAGCGCGGAATCCGAAGGTGTGAGGCTCGATTCCTCATGGAGACTTAGAATTTTTTCGTTGTCCCACGCTCGTGACAAGACGAAAAAACATCTTTCTCCATTTCTTTACCGAGCTCAAAACTTACTATCTCTCTTATTTCTATCTACCAGCTCATACATTGTAAGCACAAGACAAATACTTGATGATTTTTATCAAAGGGCATTGCAATGGTGTACAACAGATGATATTCCCGATGATGTTGTGAAAAAATTGACATTTGAAAATCATATCCAAATGTGCTCTCAAACAATTTCCAACCAATTCAACTGCACAGTATTCATGATGCGATTGAACCATTTATTTGCAAAAACTATTTAAGACAACGTAGAGAATTCTATATCGATGAAACCGTCCTTGATAATTACAAGTCACCTCTAATAATAGAAGCAGATTTTTATGGTTCAAATCTTGTGTCTTATCTTGTACATACTTTGACCATGCCATTAATGAATGTGAAATACAAACTTGTCACAAAAAGAGCATTACAACCAGACACTTTCAAGAAATTAATGAAGTATGTTTTTTGACACCTTTCCAGAAAGCGATGCCGAAAAACTTAGCGTCAGCTTTATTGGAGAACTTGGAAGAAAATACAACAGAATCAATCATGGTTTCACTTGCACTGATTACGATTCTGCTATGTGTTGTTGGACAAGTGCCATGGCTGATATAAGAAATGTGACTATTGACCATCACAATGGTATATTTCTGATCAGAGAACAAAAAGTGGAACGTATATTTTCTGACAGCACAAGCATTAATCATTTTGTTACATCGGAAACTATTTTGAAATGCTTGCATTTTGCATGTTTTGCATGCTTGCATGTTGCGTGAATACAATGCAGGCGGCACATATCTGACAAATCCCAAAATTAATTTCAAAAACGAAAAAGATGTCAAATTTAGTACCGAAAAAATTGGAGAGGCATTTGTTGCAGATAGTGAATTTTCATATTTCGAGAAGCATTACAAAGAAAATATGATGTATGACTACAACTGCAATGTCGGAAAAGGATGCCTGTCATTATATCACAAAATATCAAAGAAAAAGGAACATACAACACCATGGAGTTTGTTATTGAAGATATATCCCACAATGAATTTAGAGTAAACAATAAATACTTTGACACCAAGGAATTTGCAGAAATTTTTATTCATAGCTTTTGTGTAACCGTCTATAAATATCAGGGTGTAGATATCAATGAACATTAAAATATTTACGATATCAATCGCATGGACAAAAAGTAATTACATACAGCACTTTCTCGTACAAAGAAATTTGATTACCTTCACATGAATTTCAAAGAGCTCAACGACAAATACTTTGACAGAAATCTCCTCTCGGTGTTAGAATTAAAAAACAGCTAATTCAATAGCCTGTTTGTAAACGGAAAGAAATACAAAGTTACTTTCAATGACAAAGGCGTGTATAATGGTTCAACATGGGAAGACTTCAAAACACGATTCGAATGGCACTTCTCAAACAAAAATAGCTAGGTAAACGTAAACACAGTCATCCAAAAATCGAATTGATTATTGCAGCTCCATCGTCTGATAAAAAAAGGTTGAAAAGGTGAAAATGCTTAAATTGAAGAATATGCTAAAAATATGGTAACAAGTTGTTAAACGTGCGATGTAATTCATTAAAAACTCATAAAAAGGTTGAATACAAGATAAAAACAGAGAATAAAAAACAAATTGAAGAAAGAATAACAAAATTAAGTTAAAAAATAGCAATACAAGGCGATGAAAAACGCTCACATTTGTACTTTGACATTATTATTGACAAAGAAAGACACTACAAAAAGGTCAGGTATGTCGAATGTTCAAGGGAAGAAGCAATGACAAAAATTAGCCATAAAAAACAAGACTAAATAAAATACCCTACTCCTTACTTTGATTAGTATTTGCATTTAGTTAAGGTCCTTCTAAATAATAATGTATAAAGATTTTGTTAATGCATGTAAATTGCGCTATAGAACCCCCCATAAAGGCATCTCTACACAACAAACCTCACAAACGGTAAGAGTTTCAATGAAAAATTCCACAATTGTGAAGTGAAAATGTGAAGTCTTTGATTGGTCGAAAATATCATATGACATCAAAACAATAGCAATTGCAATTTCCTCGCGAAAGTCCCTATTGTGTTATGCTATTGATTTCTTGTTTTTCTAAGAATGTCACGCAATGGAAAAATGCCACGGAACCTCCATTGAATGCATTATATATATATGCTGTCACATGTTCACTCTTTTTGATAAACAATTAGCGTGATTTTGTGCCATGACACCCTCCCATGAACGCATCTATGCTTTAGTACCCCCTGTAAACGCAAATCGGCGTTTCGTTGCTTGGAGACAGTGGCGTGAGTTTTGGGCATGACAGCACTTGTAGTTTAGAGACATCTCCTTTTTAGTCCCTATGTTTTGTTTTAGTTTGACATTGCAATGCATTCGTTTCTCTGCATGTTTGACCCTTGCAAGATGTCTCTTTTCTAATTGAAGATTCCAGTCTAATACGCCAGTTAGCCAAATAGACTGAGAAAAAACTAAAAGCAACATTGATTTCATTTGTTTGACCATTGTATTGTTGATTTTCTTAACAATGTAGTTAGTTCTGTTCGATTGAAATTATTTGAACTCTGTTATTCCAATTAAATATTGGACGATATTGTCTGAGGTTAGTCAACCAGTCATTTTTAAACCTCAAACTTGTCCTTTTTTAGTGCCCTGGTTTACATTCAAAACCATCTCCGTTTATCAATCTCCTTGTTCCTGTTTTTGCATGTCCACTATGTACGCTTTCCATACCTATTTCTGAAACCTATTCTGATACCTATTTTCTCCGTTAGCCACCTTATCAACGAAATCAGGGAAAAATAACTTAATGTATACGGAATTTACGCGCAAACTGATGGCAGTTATGACTTGCTACTTATTCCCAAAATTTAATTTGCCTCACGAGTTGCGAAACACAAAATAAGGACTCCAAGCATTTTATCTTGTTTCAAAAAACGGAAAAACAAGTGTTAGCTTAAGAGATGTTACAAAGTCCACAAGCCTTGAAGCCAATCAACTCCCGACATCTATTCAGCAAAACTTTACCCGGATATGAACTCATTCTTCCATTTTGATTTGCTACTATCGAATGTCAGGGAAGTGAGGATATGCTCAAGGCATCAAAAAATAAATTGAAGAAGTTAGGGATATAACGAAGTGCATGTTAATACCACACCCAGCGTGGCGATCTTAAAGCACTTAAGATTAAGGATGTTGTGATTGTAAACATTAGTGAAAGGGCGAACATACATGGTAAATAATACTGATTGGAAAGATGAATTGCTAGAGGAGGGAGAACAACAATTAAAACCCCTCTTGATTAGCCATCTACAATCACGTTCCATTCCGATATACACTTTGCCGCATTCACATGGGATCATCGTGCTACAAATTGCGACGCGTAAAAAATGGACCTCATCGCCTGTTGAGACTAGTAGTATTGCAGTCGAAACGTCGCGATCAACATCGAAAGTGAGACAAACGAATAAAGTTCATCTCCTATCTGTGCATGATAGTGCGTGAAGCATGATTAATATAGATAAACAACGTTTCTTTGCGACTCCTAGCGGCAAAAAAAGAGCAACCAAGTTCTAAGGATCGATCTAAATATGCAAGAAACTCCTCAAAAGAGAATTGTGAAAAGACGAGCACGGCAATTTGTGCCATATTTGATGATCGGCGCGGTCGAAAATGAGCCTTTGAGCGCTGAAGCGATTTTCGCTGGGGAAAATGTCTTTTTCGATATTTCGGAAAACCAAGGTGGTTTCGATTATTTTTAAACTAAGATAGATTCATGGACAAAGACTGAAAGAAATTGATGCATTGATTGCACCGAGCCGCTCTAAGAGAGACTGCGTCTTAAAAGTTCAGGAACCTTATCATATTCTCCTGGGCGGTGTGGGAGCGCATTGAAATTGCCCAGCCCTGAATTTCCTGCAGAATAACCTATGACAAATGTTGTTTCGGAAAGTTACAAATTATTCCAACTGGACAAATCAAAAGTGCTACAATCTTCTGAACTTACGTTATTTTTTAGGGATCTTAAAACACCTAAAACTGGGTAGACTGAATAGCGCGTTTCAAGCCCTCTGTATATTTTTCTGCAAAATTTACCCATTTACGCAGAAAGAGTAGCAAATTTTTTTTATTATAAAAACAGATTCAAAGGAGAAAGCGAAGGAAGCCCAGGCGTTGAAAAGTTGCTCTTGGTCAGCTTCGTTTCCACGTCCCTCAGGGGCTACAAATGGCTGTGAGCTTTAATGAATTTTCCACGGAAAATAAATTACTAAAATATCAATTTCGTGATCAGAACCCCTAATCAAGTCTACATGCAAAATTTGAGCCAAATCGGTGAACTTGCCTTTCCCACAAGACCACTCAGACATTTTACAGAGCATCGTTCTTAAGTTGGAATATAAGGTTTTCTAGCAGCTTGGGATTGTTTTTTGAGTTGTCTTGTCGAAGCAAGTGGGCTATAAAGTAAATCTTAGATAATACCTTCATTTGTCATTGAACGTCTTCTAACTCAATTAGTCCTTCAATTGAAAGATGGCGCTCTTAAATAAGTATCGAACAGCTCGAGGTAAAAAGCCCCTTTTATCGTTTCTGTTACACATCATTTAGGTTCAGTTGGACTAATTTAAAGTTTATTGTCCAGTTAAGTCTAGGTCGAACGCGCCAGGCTGTTTGGGGTTTCTTCCATGCCGTTCAGTTGCTCATCTGCCGGATAAATCGCTTTTGGTGACTGACCTACTTTGTTGTTAGGCATGTGCATCCTCCTCCCTTGCTGGCCATTCTCGGCAGCGGCCATTCCATTTTTTCCTGCAAGTCGAGAACCTGGCCCTTTTTGTGCAGCCAGTGAGCCCATAAGTATTTGTTTTAACGTAGTCCTGTAAGTAGCATTCAGAAACACGTAAACAAAGGGAGCTTGATATGCACTGGATTTAGCGAGTAGCTCCAAAATGAACACTGTTTGAAATTGATAACTGTAACACTCTATTGTCATGGCAATTATGTTTGCCATATTGAGGGGCAGCTGGCTGACGAAGAAACATACAGTTAGGGCAATTACCATACGGTTAGACTTTCTACGATAAGCTAAGCCTCTTCTACGAGCACGGTCTGTTACGTTGCGAGACTTCTTCCATATTCTATGAGAACGAAGATAGAAAAATGATTACCACAAATAACTGGCTCTTGGGAAATTTTTTTTTTCGCGTGAAACATTAGCAAACTTTACTAACCATAGACTCCAGAAGGTAAAAGGTAGTAAAATTAAGGAGAAAACTCAGAAACATTCAAGGAGATCAATAAGCGGAGTTCAGCACGCGAAGCGTAGCCCCATATGTATAAAAATTAGTTGTACTCTATCAGGCCCAGAATTTGGTTTGGTGTTCGACCGTACGTCCCTGCGCACAAGGTGCTACTCTTAGCTCCTTTAGAGAGGTTGTGGTTTCAGTTACTCTTGGTACTTTGCAATTCTAGTCGCAAAATCAACAATACTCAGAGCTGAAGCTTTGTCGTTTGATAATAGCTTCAATTTATCATTTATTGCTGTTTTGATGAAGGCAAAAATTACATCACGTTTTGGTAAAAAATTTGGCATTCTTCGCTTTATAAACCTTTAAACAGGTTCATCACCCAAACAACACTTCAGAATGTTCGTATTCTCCAAATTATTTCCTCTCCTATCGTTTGGAATGTTTAATGCAGTCGTGGTGTTAAGGGAAAAGAAGGTAATTATTTTTTGGCTATTAAGTTTTCAAATAGCAGTGAACGGCGCAAGCAAGTTTCTATCATTCACTCTTCAGTTAACTACCGCAGGGTTTACTTTATTTATTAAAAAAATCGCGCGTAGCTCAAAGATGGCGGTTTTTACCCTAGGAGTTGAGGTAATGGCCCTTCCGAAAATTGAAATAAAATGAGATCAAGTCAGCGACGTTCATGATTACAAGTGCGCACCACCATCGGCGGGTAAAGAAAAAGAATCTGGGGCATTTTATATAATTTTTGAAAAGGTTCATCAAAAGGGTAATTTGGAAAAAAAAAACGAGTTACGAAATTTTGCAACTTTCGGCGGATTCTCGATATTTATGGTCAGTGGCTCGTAAATGTCGACTCTCGACAATTGGCATAGTTTGTTGATTATTTGATTATTTTGCGGCCCCAAATATGAAAACCTCGGTATTTTTTAAATGAAGAATGGAAAGCCTACCCTCTTTCGGCCGATAGTTCTTTCGTGCATGGGAAAATTGCCATTTTTAAAGTACTCTCTGGAAATTAAAATTTATGGCAGACCCAGGGCTATGGTTTGCGACCAATTGGCTCATAATTTTCTTGCAAACGAAGGTGATCTTTCGCATTATGGGTATAAACCTGGTTTAATGAGTACGTGAAGGTTATAAGGTACATGAAGGTACTTGGTTGTGTCTTCGCAAGAAAGTTTGACTTAATTTTACCTGACTAGCTTAACTAAATAAACCGAAACTTGAAATTTATTTGGTCTCCTTTTGAGGGGTGCATTTTACTTGACTAGCTTAACTGAATAAATAGAAACTTGAAATTTATTTGGTCTCCTTTGGGGGGTACATCAAAGATTTTAAGTCACGGCAGGCTTAAATTAAAAGTTTATACACTTGGGAAATCTGTACGCTTATGAGTGTTTTCAACATTAAAACGAGGATTGTGACCACCAGGCAGGCGTTGTAAAAACTTTTTCCTAGCTTTTTCATATACGTAGAATCTTCCCCATCTAGCCTACGCTGAGTTCTAGTTTTTCAACCAAATTTTACATACTTTTGAATATTCTTAGATCTCCTAGTATCAGTCAACGACAAGTCTTTTGAAAATTTCTTTATATTTAAAAGAAATGTTGCAGGTGTACGGCATATTAACATCATGATTAACATTCTATTATGTGTAGGGATTGGTATATAAAAGGCTATAAAAGTACAGTCAAAACAAATTGTTGTGCACAGCCTGTGCACTGATCAGATTTATGTAATAACATATTCTATTCTCCCTAAATCAAGTTTAACAGAATACGAGTGAGTTACCTTACACAAGTATGGCTTTTGACAATGTTTCCAGGCTAAAAAGATGTCACTTTCCTGATGAATAAATATATTTTCCCAAACCTGCTGGCATGCTAAAAACCTCAGTCCAGGCCAAGATCATGGATAGTTGGTTTAAAGACACTGACGTTAAACGCAGTTACAGCAGAGGTTACCCAATTAAGTAACAGACAAAATGTCAAAAAGACACCGTGATTGACACCGTGTATTTCAAGCCGCATAATCATAACACGCGAACAGTCAAGAGAGAAGAAGTTGAAAAAAGTACAGGTTTAAACACGAGTTGAAAGTGACTTTTCTTTTCAATTTTCTACGCTTATCAGAAGAGATTGAAACCTTAGAGAAAAATCGGTGGAGCAAGCAGTCATATCTGGCATCAAGAGAAGATGTAAGAGAAGCTCATACGATTCTGGCGTATTGCTTTACTGCCTCACTGTTCTCACGTCTCTACTCTTCAATCGACAGGTGATATCTAAACTCGCAGTCGTTTATCGTCTTTTCTTACAATTTTGGTTCTTTTTCCCAAATCGAAATTATCCGTCACTCTCGATAGAATAGAATTTCTACTGATACGGACATCATACACTACATCTGAAGAAGAAAACATTCCCTATCCTCGAAAATCGGCTCAAAACATTTGGAACATCAACGAAAGTCTTCAGCTGCTTAAAAATACTGCTAACTAGCATGCGTGTTGATTGCTTTGCAAACTGTGAGAACATTGTTCCTCGGTTCCAGCCCCTTCAATCCTCCTCCCCAAGACTAGTACCTATATCCCTCTTGAACAACCTATTCGACGGCCGGTGTTAAAGAGTTCCAATAAAGTGAAGGGCTGGAGGACTAACTGGAGCTCCGCTTTCAGGCTTAGCTAGATCTATGTTTTTTGTGTCTTGTAACCAAAGCGGTTACTGGTATATCAGAATATCGAATAACAATTCGATGCTGGTTCTTAGGTCTGTCTTAGAAAAAAAAAGCCATCTTTGGAGCTATAGCAACCAATAGATTGGGTTTGACCGTTTAACCTGTGCAGGGAAGTTTAAAAGTCTTCAGAAATTAGTTTCAATAGGGTGATAAAACTCCTATTAATTACCACTTACCTGGTACAAAAATATTGTGTAATGGAGCATATAAGTAAGGGCAGAAGTAGAAACACGAGGACAACAGTGACGTTGAAGATAAAAACGTGCCTTTCCTGAGAAGCCCAGTCCAGGTGGCATGTAAACTTCGACGTCGAAAGTACAGAGAAACTCTTTTCACTCAGAAGCATGCTGCTAAAAGCAATGGAGCATAACCAAGATGCTGTGAAGAATATCATTTTGCTTCTCCTTGGTATCTGCTGTGATGCTCCAAGGTAGCATCGACCAGAGGCCAGCTTTGACACAACGTTCATCGCGCACAAGGTAGAGGAATACGCACACTGGGAGAAAAGGTCTGTGAAAGCTACCCACTGACACAGAAAGTAACCTTTCGATGATCTCTCAACCGTGTCTCCACTTAATGTAAGGGCGTAGCCAAATGTTGATTGTACCAAAGAAATCGCAGTCAAGTTGATCATGAAAGAGGCCATGATCTTTCCTCGCAGTGTGCGTCGAAACAAAATGAATTCTGCTGAAATGTTGCACAGAGACGCCAAGACAAGCAGGGCCATGTTTAAGTTAACTGAGATAATTGACTGTGCAGGTGAGATGGAGCCGTCTTTTTCTGCTGTTAAGCAACTTGAATGATTCATTTAGACTGGTTGCTGGTAACACACGGTCTGTTGAGGTGAATAGGCAGTTTAGTAAGAAAAACTTTAATTAAATGTAACGTCGACTTATTATCAGTCGATCACATGTTAATGTGAAAGGTCAGCAAGTTTTGATGTCCCACTTATGGTTTTTGACTTTCTAACTGCAAACGCACGTCTACATTCTTCTGCTGGTTAAGCTCAAAAGTACATGCTTCTATGTTCGTTACTGATAAGCGTGGGTGGGCATGCTAGCTGACTGACCTTGCAAGATTAGACATCCGTCTTTAAAACACTTAACTAAACACTTTTACGAGAATATCATAAAATCAATTAACAAAACTGCGCGTTATGGTTCTGATTGACTGCTGGAATCAACCTTAACTGTGCAAGCCAAAGCAACAACTTTCGCCGGTGTGGATCACAATTTGGAACTTGTCGCTGTAGCCAAAAACCTAAACGTGCTTAAATGCAGCTTTAGGTGCCATTCTGTATTTACTCTCCACTGGCAGACATTCTATGACGCCGCAAGATGCAATTTCAAAACTATGTTAATACAACTCGGTTATACATCTCTTTTCCCACAAACGACGAACTGGAACTAACCTATAGTATTGCTAAAATTGAAGAATGCTTGACCTACCATGACAAGTGGGTGTCTCTAAACAAACTAAAACTTAACAAGGTTGAAACTGAACTTCTTTACTTCTGCTCTAAGTACAGCCTGCAGTGTTCTCTACCACCACTTCGTTTCGGAAAAGACACAATTCAGCTAGTCTTAATCCGCCATAAATATTGCTTTTATTTCTAATGGTGCCGCGTCTATTTTTAACTCATGTAAATTCCGTCTGTAAACGGCCCTCTATCATCTGCGCAACATTTCTTGTTTTAGGAAATTTCTGCCCACGAAGACCGCCGAGATTCTTGTTCATGCTTTTCTGTCCACTAAAAATTTACCAGTGTAGCTATCTTTTGTCTAATGAACCGATATATGTTTTGTAAAAAAAGGTTCAATCTGTACAGAATATTACTGCTCTTCTAATTATACTTTTCCGCGAGTACGATCACATCACTCCAACTCTCAGACTGAACTACCATAGTAGGTAGCACTGGCTTCCTTTTCCTGAACGAAGTCAATTCAAGACTTTATTACCCACTTTCAAGTCCCTACACCAACTGTCTCCCACTCACATTCAAGATTTGATAACACTACGTCTGAATCTTGTTAACTTTAATTTGAAGTCCTATGAGTCTCGAATCTTTCCTGTTTCTGCCCCCGAACTCTGGAACAGTTTGAATAAAGGGGTCAAGTTTCTAAAGAAACCGTGGTAGTACGTCGGTGGAGAGAATAACAAGAAAAAATGTTTTTATCAGCTGCATTGATAATGTTTTTATTAGCCAACGTGTAGAACAAGAATTAAAAACAAAAATCATTAGAAAAGTGGAGATGATAAGTTTTTAGCTCGGTGAATAATTAAGAAAGATGTTTTTTCGTCTTGTCACGAGCGTGGGACAAAGAAAAAATTTGCGCTCCGATGTTCTAACCACTGAGCCACAAAAACTCTTCGGTGAGCGGGTTCTATTACGAAGTTCTAATGACACGCGTCCTGCATACTGCTAGGATCAGCAATGTCGATGGCGTAATGTTTTTGACAGAAAAGTAGAGATGGTAAGTTTTGAGCTCGGTGAAGAATTAAGAAAGATGTTTTTTCGTTTTGTCACGAGCGTGGCACAAAGAAAAAATTCTGAGTCCCCATGAGGAATCGAACCTCAGACCTTCGGATTTGCGCTCACCGAAGAGTCTTTGTGGCTCAGTGGTAGAGCATCGGAGCGCAAATCCGAAGGTCTGAGGTTTGATTCCTCATAAGGACTCAGAATTTTTTCTTTGTCCCACGCTCGTGACAAGACGAAAAAACATCTTTCTTAAGAATAAATTAGTTGAATGATAATCATTTGTTAATACCGTGAATCGGTCGCCTAAAACATCTTCCGAGAACACCTTTGTGATGTGGTTCTAAAGGAAAGACATAGACGCATCTAAACCAAAACCTTGACACTTACATTCCCCTTATCACTCAAACAAACTTTTGGCAGTTTGCAGCCTTTCCTCACATCGAGGCAGTTCGGAAAGCCGCAAGACTCTAGAACAAAAATTTATCTTTCAAATTGGCACTATAAATCCCCGCGGTATCAACGAACACTTTTCATTTAACTAATTTATTCTCTTTTTTCTCGTCACCATGTTCCTGGCGATAGCGTAGCTCCATTTTTTTACATAAAAGCACACACACAACCCACGATTCCTCTACTCGCTCTGACGAGGGGCTAACGCTCAAAACGTCAACTTAAGAACTCCTTGCGGTGGCCAATTTACATTTAAAACCAAATTATGTGGAACAGTTTGCCTGATAGCATCCACACATGCGACAATTTAAACGCTTTTAGGGTGCTAAAAGTTGAACAAGGCTCCTTTACACCATTGGTATTTACTATCACCTGAGGAATGGCAGATGAATGCAAGAGGTATCACATTAGATTGGCTAAATTTTATCTACCAAGAAGGGAGAGGATTACAGTACAAAAATTTCATGGATTCGCGCCAAAGTTTCATTCGCTCTCCTGAGGTCTGCGGTGCTATGCTAGAGAGGCTCACGATGTACGCGAAGAGCTCCGCTGAAAATTACAGATGACGATTTTGAAATTGATAAGGAACTAGCGAGATGTTAGGATTAGAGCGCTTAATATTCCTCGCATTTAGAATTAGTACGGGCTTTGGAATCGGTAGCGAACCAGCAAGATTTTAGGATTAGAACTTTTAAGAGAGTGTCTCTACCTGATTGATTTATATCAGTTACGCTACATGTTGACAAGTCCCTCAAAATGGCGCCCAAACTTGGAGAAAACTTGTCGAAAATTAAGTAAGTTTACGGAGTTATAAAGTTTTCGTAAAGGTCGAGCCGCAAGGTTTTTTTTCTGTAGTTACCTTTTCTATGGTACCTATCATAGCTATGTTAGTTGAATCAGTTAAGAACGCCTCACTTTTTAAAAAATTTATTAAATTTGATCGGTTTTGGCGTGTGTGACTTAGGGGAACCGATAAGGTGTCAATCAAGTCTTTCTGTTTGCTTGATTGAAACGTGATGTTCACGAAAGTCGCCTCGATGGATAAGATAGAGTTAATATACATGGCTGAGGTATTTGTTTTTAGCTGAGTTCCGCAGTTTTTTGTAAATTGTACTCCAAAGTTGTCTTAAATTAAAATCTTGAAAAGTGTCACGATAAGCCTCCGCTCGAGTGAAATTTAATTTCCGTAAAACTCTGAAAAATAAAGAGATCCGATCAAACGGATTGTGGTTTTGGTATTGGTACATGAATTTCTTAAAACACTCAAGAAATGAGCGAAATCCGTGTCTCAAGCAAACTCGACCGGACCGCTCTAACAGAGACACTCTCTTAATATCCTTCACATTACTATCATTTTCCCCTTTTTTTTGAGTTTTTTTTTTATTGAAAAAAATAACATCTATGTTAGCGTACAGAAAGTGGTAATGCATCTCGCACCAATCAGATCGTCACATTAGGGTATGTATCTCGCACCAATCAGAGCCTCGTCATTGTTTTTTGGTTTGAGAGGTGTTCAAGTAATCCACCCATCCCCAAAAAATATCTCTTGCATGCATAGCATGCCTATATTTTTAACTATCTTCTCCTTCTTTAAAGTCTAAGAAGTAAACCTAAACGAAGCGTGTATTCGTTAGTATTTTTTTTAGATTTTTATTAGGCATTTTAATGTATTCGATTTTTTTTAAGGATTTTATCATAATTTTTTGTGATTATATTGAGTAGTGGTAGTGATTTAGTGATTGTAGTGAGTAGAAGGAGTATTACTATTGTTGCAAAACACGTAACTTTAGAGGTTCTTTACAAAACAATTGCAAAACCTCAAGATTCCACAAGTTTGAATTTTTAAAATGGCGAAGGAATAGTTATTTGAGTCCTAAATTGCTCGGTTTAGGTTAATGCAGTCTTCATTTTTTCAAAATAAGTGAATAAAACTGTCCCAAAATTTCAAGTAATAAGTTCATTTGCATGCTTGTATGACATGCTTTAAAAGCAAGAATTTCTTGACTGTTATTTCGAATATTACTTGAATTTAAATAACACTGATTTACAGTGAGTTGCTCTCAAGTTTGCGTTCTTAGAAGATAGAGTGTGTTTGCAGAATATAAAAGCAAGGATAATTCAGTAAAATAACGATGTGCCACAAGCTATGCCTGTAACCATTCCCCAAAACTCATAGTTCCCGATTATCGGGTCGTGAATATTGCATCGCAAACTAAGTTCGTTTTCGCTTGAATGTCACATCGATTATTTTTTTTGGGTTACTACTTAGGAATAAATACGATTTGCAAACATCTGTCGGTTTGTGCAAGCTGTTTTAAAGTATTTAGAGTAGATAATCAGTTCTCATATGCTTATTTTCTTTCTGAGTCAATCGTGTGGAAAATGTTTCCCTTTTACAGAAACACCGAGGGGTCATATCGGGGTAAGAGGTAGATGGCGATTTTTTCTTGTTTACTATTTCCCATTTTTACCTAGGCTTTTCCAACTCTAGTTATACATATTACGTACCTTCTTTGAGGAGTCACAGATAAGACGATAAGTAACTGACAGAGTTAAGAAAATTAAATGGCGACTGACATACTTTATGCTCTATGTGGAATAGAAATTTGTCTTGCGACGATATTGCCGTAAGAAGGTATCATGATTATACAACTGGAGAGCACGTGCGTCAGAAGAGATTTCTGCATTTGAGATTGATGATTTCGAAAATCGCATGAAAAAATGTTGTTTCGATTCAAATTATACCACTTTTGGTTATGACTATCATTTCTACCAAAATCGTGAGAATTGAAAAGGTGAATGCAGAAGTTTGCCACCGACTTTGAACTTTTCCCAGATTTCGTCCTCGTTACGACAGTCCGTGAATCGGGGACTCTTTG